GATTCCAAGTGCTGACTGATTGCTCTCTTTCTCCTTGTCTTGCAGGTAAAAACAAGGCCAAAAGAAAAGACAGGGAAAAAGCATGATATGGGATACTCTTGCTTTTAACCCTGATGATATGAGATATTCTTGCTCTAGTATAGCTTGTTTGCAGAGGTATTATCGGGGGGAAAGAAAGCTGAATATTTCGAAAGGCTTCGTTGTTGGAGTGCCCTCTCAGATATGATGAAGGGTTGAGCATTTTTGCAGGTCTGCCTGTCCGTTGGGCATGGAGGTCGACATATATAGGAGTCTCCCTAACAACAAGTAGTAATGCTATTCCTTTACCCTGCTTGGTTATAGCACGGTAGTGGGAGCTGCCAGTTTCACATGTTTTAACTATGTCAGAGAGCACTTTGAAAAAGTGGTCTGTGGTATCTGGCTCTCGAGATTCGGAGAAACGATGCCTCTTCGATTTTTGAGAAAATAATCATGCTGGGGGTATGACTCTCGAGATTCGGAGAGCAGTGTCTCTTCGATTTTGGGGAGTGTCTCATGTGGGAGTCTGGCTCTCGAGATTCGGTTGGGCGTCTGCCTCTTGATTTTGAGAAGCATTGGGTTGGGAGTGCTCGATTTTGCAATTGTTGTTTTAGTGTTGTCCTTGTCGATTTTGAGAAAGGTTGGGCAGTCTCTGTTTGGGTAGTCTAACCTTGGCTCTCTGGAGTCACATGGCTCCAATTATCCAGCACATGGTTACTGGTTCCTGGCCTCTTCGATTTTGAGAAAGTAGTCATGTTGGGAGTCTGGCTCTCGAGATTCGGAGGACAGTGCCTCTTCGATTTTGGAGCAAGCAATCTTATTGGGAGTGTTTTCTCGAATGTGAGTAAAGGTTGGCATGTTTGCTAGTCTACCTTGCCACGAAGCACAGAGGTTGACACACAGGACTTTCCAATTATCCAGCAGTGGTACTGTTCAGTTTGGTACTGTTCCTTTACAGTTGTGGGTAATAATATGGTAGCTAGACCTTCAAAATTTATGTGTCTAAACTTTTGTTAGTGCTGTTTCTTTGCTATTCTTTTACCTTTCTTGGTCAGAGCGATGTAGTGGGAGCTGCAAGCTTCACGTGCTCAACTTTGGCAGAGAACTTTGGCAAAGTTATTTGTGTACCCATGAGCTATATTGTGGGGTGTGGGGTGGGTGATTGAACAGTAAGATTCATGTGCTTTCTACTTCACCAGAAGTCTTCGACAGAATGCCCATAATTTCTGCAAAGCTGAGTGTGCGTGTGGCAGGTGCGGACAAGGCTAGAAAAGTAGGTGCCTCTTCGATTTCTGAGATCGGCCCTCGTGGTCTCTGAGCAGCCCAGCTTTTGAGAAAGCGAGCGCCTCTTCGATTGATTCGGAGAACGATGCCTCATCGATTTTTGAGAAAGCAATCATGCTGGGGGTCTGGCTCTCGAGATTCGGGGAGCAGTGTCTCTTCGATTTTTTAGAAAGTAATCATGTTGGGAGTCTGGCTCTCGAGATTCGGAGGGCGGTGCCTCTTCGATTTTGAAGCAAGCAATCTTGTTGGGAGTGTTTTCTCGAATGTGAGTAAAGGTTGGGCATGTTTGCTAGTCTACCTTGCCACGAAGCACAGAGGTTGACACACAGGGACTTTCCAATTATCCAGCAATGGTACTGTTCCTTTACCCTCTCTTCGATTTTTAAGAAAGTAGTCATGTTGGGAGTCTGGCTCTCGAGATTCGGAGGACGGTGCCTCTTCGATTTTGGAGCAAGCAATCTTATTGGGAGTGTTTTCTCGAATGTGAGTAAAGGTTGGGCATGTTTGCTAGTCTACCTTGCCACGAAGCACAGAGGTTGACACACAGGGACTTTCCAATTATCCAGCAGTGGTACTGTTCCTTTACCATTGTGGGTAATAATATGGTAGCTAGACCTTCAAAATTTATGGGTCTAAACTTTGTTAGTGCTGTTTCTTTGCTATTCTTTTACCCTTCTTGGTCAGAGCGATGTAGTGGGAGCTGCAAGCTTCACGTGCTCAACTTTGGCAGAGAACTTTGGCAAAGTTATCTGTGGTACCCATGAGCTATTGTTGCGTGTGGGAAGTGGGTGATTGAACAGTAAGATTCATGTGTTTTCTACTTCCCCAGAAGTCTTTGACAGAATGCCCATAATTTCCGCAAAACTGAGTGTGCGTGTGACAGGTGCTGACAAGGCTGGAAAAGGCTGGAAAAGTAGGTGCCTCTTCGATTTCTGAGATCGGCCCTCGTGGTCTCTGGGGAGCCCAGCTTTTGAGAAAGCGAGCGCCTCTTCGATTTTTGAGATCGGCCTTCGTGGTCTTTGAGCAGCCCAACTTTTGAGAAAGCAAACGCCTCTTCGATTTCTGAGATCAACCCTCGTGATCTCTAAGCAGCCCAGCTTTTGAGAAAGCAAACGCCTCTTCGATTTCTGAGCAGGCGCCTCTTCGATTTCTGAAGCTTCGTCGAGTGCAGATTTTTATAGGGGCTGGCATTAAGTTCCAAAGCACACTTGAATCTCCACCAGTAGAATCTTCATTCTTGCACTTCTAAGATCTTGATTTGTCCGACCTCTTTTCTCTTCAACACCTTTGAAAATGTCTGGCCCCTCCGACCGTCGTTTTGACTTGAACCTTGTTGAAGAGGCAGCCCCGCCTTCTCCAGAAAACATATGGCGCCCATCCTTCGTCTCCCCTACTGGTCCTCTTACCGTTGGGGATTCCGTGATGAAGAATGATATGACCGCTGCGGTGGTGGCCAGGAACCTTCTCACTCCCAAAGATAACAGACTACTTTCCAAACGGTCTGATGAGTTAGCTGTTAAGGATTCGCTGGCTCTCAGTGTTCAGTGTGCAGGTTCTGTGTCTAATATGGCCCAACGCCTATTTGCTCGAACCCGCCAAGTTGAATCATTGGCGGCTGAAGTGATGAGTCTCAAACAGGAGATTAGAGGGCTCAAGCATGAGAATAAACAGTTGCACCGGCTCGCACATGACTATGCTACAAACATGAAGAGGAAGCTTGACCAGATGAAGGAAACTGATGGTCAGGTTTTACTTGATCATCAGAGATTTGTGGGTTTGTTCCAAAGGCATTTATTGCCTTCGTCTTCTGGGGCTGTACCGCGTAATGAAGCTCCAAATGATCAACCTCTGATGCCTCCTCCTTCTAGGGTTCTGTCCAGTACTGAGGCTCCAAATGATCCCCCTCCGGTGCCTTCTCTTTCTGGGGCTCTACCGACTGCTGAGACTTCTCCTAAGCAACCTTTGTGAAGGCTCCCTCTTGTGTGCTTATTTTGACTCATGTATATGTACATATTTGTAGCTTATCGGGGATATCAATAAATAAGCTTTCCTTCATTTCAACGTATTGTGTTAAATACACCAAAGCCTTCTTCGCTAAGTTCTTTGAATTTTCTTTTGTTAAAGCTTGTATGTTGAAGCTTTCTGAGTGGAGCATGTAGGTTGGGGTAGTGTTCCCTTAATTTCCCGAGTGAGGAAAACTTCTCGGTTGGAGACTTGGAAAATCCAAGTCACTGAGTGGGATCGGCTATATGAATCTTAGAACGCCATTGTGCTCGATCCTGTGTCATGTCCTTCGTTAGATCTAAGTACTCTAAGTCTTTTCTTAGAGTCTCTTCCAAAGTTTTCCTAGGTCTTCCTCTACCCCTTCGGCCCTGAACCTCTGTCCCATAGTCGCATCTTCTAATCGGAACGTCAGTAGGCCTTCTTTGCACATGTCCAAACCACCGTAACCGATTTTCTCTCATCTTTCCTTCAATTTCGGCTACTCCTACTTTACCCCGGATATCCTCATTCCTAATCTTATCCTTTCTCGTGTGCCCACACATCCAACGAAGCATCCTCATCTCCGCTACACCCATTTTGTGTACGTGTTGATGTTTCACCGCCCAACATTCTGTGCCATACAGCATCGCCGGCCTTATTGCCGTCCTATAAAATTTTCTCTTGAGCTTCAGTGGCATACGGCGGTCACACAACACGCCGGATGCACTCTTCCACTTCATCCATCCAGCTTGTATTCTATGGTTGAGATCTCCATCTAATTCTCCGTTCTTTTGCAAGATAGATCCTAGGTAACGAAAACGGTCGCTCTTTGGTATTTCTTGATCTCCGATCCTCACCCCTAACTCGTTTTGGCCTCCATTTGCACTGAACTTGCACTCCATATATTCTGTCTTTGATCGGCTTAGGCGAAGACCTTTAGATTCCAACAATTCTCTCCAAAGGTTAAGCTTTGCCTTTACCCCTTCCTGAGTTTCATCTATCAACACTATATCGTCTGCGAAAAGCATACACCAAGGAATATCATCTTGAATATGTCCTGTTAACTCATCCATTACCAACGCAAAAAGGTAAGGACTTAAGGATGAGCCTTGATGTAATCCTACAGTTATGGGAAAACTTTCGGTTTGTCCTTCATGAGTTATTACGGCAGTCTTTGCTCCTTCATACATATCCTTTATAGCTTGGATATATGCTACTCGTACTCCTTTCTTCTCTAAAATCCTCCAAAGAATGTCTCTTGGGACCCTATCATACGCTTTTTCCAAATCTATAAAGACCATGTGTAAATCCTTTTTCCCATCTCTATATCTTTCCATCAATCTTCGTAAGAGATAGATTGCCTCCATGGTTGAGCGCCCTGGCATGAACCCGAATTGGTTGTCCGAAACCCGTGTCTCTTGCCTCAATCTATGCTCAATGACTCTCTCCCAGAGCTTCATTGTATGACTCATTAGCTTAATACCCCTATAGTTCATGCAATTTTGTACGTCGCCCTTATTCTTGTAGATAGGCACCAAAGTGCTCATTCGCCACTCATTTGGCATCTTCTTCGTTTTCAAAATCCTATTGAAAAGGTCAGTGAGCCATGTTATACATGTCTCTCCCAAAAGTTTCCACACTTCGATTGGTATATCGTCTGGGCCTATTGCTTTTTTATGCTTCATCTTCTTCAAAGCTACAACCACTTCTTCCTTCCGGATTCGACGATAAAAAGAGTAGTTTCTACACTCTTCTGAGTTACTCAACTCCCCTAAACCCTTGACTCTATACAATCTCCAAATTTCCTGCATATACATGATGAGTCAAATTGTTGAAGATGATGATAATGAATCAATAGTAGAGCCATACATATCTTGACACATAAAACTGATCATATGTCATACCATCTCAACTAATCATATGTTGTTCCATCTATGAATTAGAGATTCGACAAGTTATGATCGGTTAAGATGGTACAAACTATTTATATTTCAACATCTGGTCAACAGTCAACTACTAACCACACTGATATTGCCTCAACTTAACTACATGCACATCTCGGCAGTTGCTGAATTTCTATCACAAAAACCCCTGGTGCAATTAGATGTGTAACCATTCAATAAAAGTTGAGTAATCAATGAAAAAAAAAGAGTAAAGTCTTCTTCTTAAATAGCTTTTGAACAACTTTTGACTACCTGTTTAAATAGCTTTTGAGTTCTTCTTTTGAAATAGGATGACCCTTTGAGAATGTCAATAATAAAGTTCTATCATTGTTGTCAACATTAGGTTGGTGCACATCATCATATGCTTCACGAGTCGGAGTCGCCTAATGCGACATGTACGACAAGACTGGGTGTAATCATAATATATGCTCTAGTGCTACGATCATGCGAAGACTAGCAATAATCGCGGTCACCTACGAGTCGGAATCACCTAATACGACATGTATGACAAGTTTGCTCCTACTTGGATCCAAGGCGAGTATGTGGTGTGGAGGTGAACATCACGTGAAGGACTGACCCTAGCCCGGGGCGAGCACTAACACTAGAGGTGCAACAATGATGAGCAGACTACATGAATATATGCATGCCATAATGATTCAAATCAACATAATTAACTTACCTGAACTTACCTGCGCAATGTCGTAGGATTATTTTAGCATTTCACAACAGTGCAACATTGATGAGTAGGTAAAATGTATATGAAAATGCCATGACAATATGTATAAATCCCAACCACATAACAACATTTTTAAAATTAAATAAATCATGGCACGATATGCACAAATCAATTTAAAAGCATTTGTGAAAACTATAAAGTTTATATATACACGAAAACAAAATGCCCACTCACTGATATGTCGATGGATCGTAGGCCCCAAGCCTCGCTTGTCCTCATACGTCATCAGGATAAATTTCCCCTATATGCAAAACAACTAATAATAATTAATTAATTAACACATACACTAAAAGCTAGGAAAAGCCCCTTATAGTTTGCTTAAACGGAAGGTTTGAATATACGAAAACGTTCTACTCGATGTCACGGACCCGTACGTGTCAACCATTCACCGGCCAGCGACCGGACGCGCCCTTACGCGCCGCCAGCTTGCGGCCACACGCGTAGGCCACGTGTCTGATAGAAGCTAATAGATGTCAGGAGTATTCTGTCAGACTTGACGAAATATTCTATTAAATAGTAACGGCGTTACCTGGCGTCGTTAGAATATTCCGTCAACTTTGACGAAATATTCTTTGTCTTCTCTTGTGATCCTCGTCATCTGCCGGCGCCGCTGTCTGGTTTTGCCTGAAACTGGAAATCTTTGCCGATTTTCTGGAAAATTTTCAAATTTGCATAACTTATTCATTTCTCAACCATTTCCAATGAAATTTATATGGAATTGAAGCCCATGATGAGGAGAAAAAGATCGTACCTCTTGAGAATCCAAAAATGGACGGAAAATGGCCTGAAAAATCCTCGAAAGATTTGGCCTAGTTTTCGACTCTTCGAAACTGTGTGTTTTGACATTGTCTCCACTCCAAACTTAGCCTAGTGACTCCAAGGAGTTGTGTGGATGCCTCCGCAACCTTCAAAACTTTGTAACTCTACCGAGATCACATCGGAGCTAACTTGTCCGAGTCAGAGCTTCAGAGTTGGCGAGTCAAAACTCAACCACTTCAAGATCGGTTTGTACAGTTGGGTTCGTGAGGATAAGAGGATCACGATGGTGGTATTTTTAAGTTCAATATGTGAGTGTTTGATGAAGGTCCTTGTAGTTGCAGAGAAGAGGGAGGTACAGGTGAGAGAGAGAGAGAGAGAGAAAGAGAGAAAGAGAGAAAGAGAGAGAGAGAGAGAGAGAGAGGAAGAAGATGAGAGAGAGGGAATGCCAACTTTTCTGATTGGTGGAAAAGTGAGGGAAGTTGTCTGGTTGGTTGAGAGAATTGAGGAGTGAAATTGATTAGTGGTGAGGGATTTGAGGGCACGGGTCCAATTTTAAAGAAAACAGATAGGGTTTGTACAATATTAATCAAACGAAATCTAACGTACCTTATCTGAAACAGTAGTTTCCAGTACTAAATTATTAACGCACACATGTACAACTATACCTCGTTGCTAACGTACTTTAATGTAACGTAACATTTTCGTTACAAATCCGATACGAGTCTAGTTCGTGCTCACGCGATAGTAACAACGAGTACAATTTAATTACGATAGTGAGGAAAATAATTTAAAACTGCATAATCACGTCCACGTCACCTTGCCAACAAAGGCATAAATGTCAATTTACACACCCGGGAAGAAATTACATAGAAAATTAGGGTTGGGTCGTCACAATGAGACTCATGTATGAGGACTCTTTGAATCTCTATCTTTCCATGAAATAAATAAATCATATTTCCAGTATGTTAGGCATGGCATCCTTTATTTATTTGCAAATTGCATTACTTATTTAAGACTTCATCTTAGTTTAAGCATTTACATTCCGTATGTTAGGCATGTCATCCTTTATTTATTTGCAAATTGCATTATTTGTTTACGACTTCATCTTAGTTTAAGCATATACATTGCTTACCTTTCTAGTAAAAGATAAGTATATGCATACACCCAAAACATAAAGGTCCCAAGCCAAAAAGCAAAGAAAACAGAAAGGTGAGCCGTTAGCATCGCGACCGATAAAATAAATCAATATCAAGCAACATTGCCATCTTCTTTTTTTATATATAAATATTATTATTAATGGGTAAAGAGGGTTCAAAATTATCACAATAATTTAAGAGATGGATAGTTGTGAACACGAGATATATGGATGAAAACCCAACAACTTACTCACTAAAATAATGAACCACATGTAATATTGTCATCTTCTTCCATAGGCAATATTCTTCATGTATGCATAGACGGAGCCACCCTAGGCCTACTGGAGGCGGACGCCCCCACTCACATTGGTTCTTAAACAAAAAACGGTACATGTAGTATCAACTTTCAAGCTAAAACCTCACTTAATAACCACTCTATTGAAATAGAACTTACATTTTGCCAACAACTCCCCCATCCATTATTTTATGCCATATACAATAGAGAAGAAGCATAATGGACATGATTGTAGGCATTGGCTACAATACTTACATGTATTTAATACAATAACCATCTGACAATCAATATAATTCATGTAATTAAATGCATTTAATATAATCACTATCTGACCGTCAAGGTGGGTGATTTGTATTAAATATATAAGTATTATAATTTTATTATAATTCAGAGTTTTTCGCTCAAATTGATTTATGTTATCATTTTTGTTTACTTGCTCTATTTGTTTTGTTTCTTCCTGTTTGTGTATATTGGGTTGAACTTTTTAATTTTACTTTATTATTTTAGGATGTTCCCAATCAAAAAAGTATCTAGCTCCATCCCTGCATGTATGTATGGGACTTAGCTTTAAACCAAGTTTAACAGTCAATTAGTGTTTTTTTAATCAATGACGATAGATATTCAAAGTTTAGACTTATGTAGTACAAGAGAAACATTAATAAATCAAAAGTTAGTTGGCGAACGAGGAAGATTTGAACTTGAAACATCTTTTTAACAATATTCTGTTAGTTTTCTAAAATCTCCATTAACAACGACGGCTTCAATCAAGGGCCCTACTGAGCATCTTTGTGTCGGCTGAAACCAACTTGAATGAAATGAATCATAGACTTGCAAATAAAAATGATTTAGAAGTAAAGAATGGGAAACTGTTTCACAGTCCCAGCTGAATTTTAGAGAAAAGACAAGAGTTCTGCAATTCACATAACTATTTTTTTACTTCTCAAACATTCTTTTTAATTTTTCGACCATCGAATAGAATAAATTGAAGAAGATCAATAGCTAAAAATTAACAAGAGTATGTGAGAAATAAAAATTGAGTGTGTGAACATCACTATCCAAAAGCAAAAGATATTGGGTTTTTTTCCCGCTATTTCTCACTAGTGGAGCAGATTGCCAAGGGATTTGCAAACTTATCTATATTATTTTTTATTATGCACACGTAGACAAAATCTTGAATCCGCAACTAATTTCTAATGTTGTATTTGATATTAATTAACTTTCAACTTATCATAAAATAGGCTTCTCGGCTTATCCAATGACCAAATTTTACGATTCATTTAAACGTTCAGAAGAGATCTCGACGTAAAATCTTTCGTAGCCCTATGGTGTTTGAAAATGCCTTTCATCCATTAGGCTAGAAATTATATTGCTAGTGCTATACACTAGTAAATCCTTCAAGCTGGAAGTACTAGAGAATTAGCATGCAAATATTTCAGATAGAAATGCTACAAGAACTAAATGCTTTTCAAGTTTTGGACAAAATGACATGAAAGTATTTTAGCTAATAAAAGTAAATAAGATGAAAAGCAAGGTCGAAATATGAACAAATAAATTTATTAGCCACATCAGTTGGTGGTGTCTAAAAATCTGGGATTTGTTTTGATGCTTGTGGTATTTACTCAATATTTTACACCAGTCCCTACCACAAGCACATTGTTTTCATTTGCAACGATCTTTTTTTCTTTGAGGAAGGGTTGGTGTCTCGCACGCGACTATTGAAGAAGAGCTAATCTCGCCTAATCATTCTCTGGAAAAAAAAAAAATCTAAAGTTTAAGGGTTAGAAGACAATAATTGAGTGGGTAGTAAGCACCTGTTTTAATGGAAAAAAAATGTGTTAATTGACAAAAATGTCTTAATCAATGAAAGTATGATAATATGTTAGAAGACAATAATTGAGTGGGTAGTAAGCACCTGTTCAAATACAAAAATACTAATTAAAATTTCTCCACTAATGGAGAATTGAAGAATGGCAAACGTGCGTGCTTTGTGGTGGCGTTGGATTGAAGGATTTTATTAACCGATGCAGTGGCTTCATGTTGAATATCACACTTTGAGCTAGCTTGGTACTTGCCACACCGCCATGGATGAGTCCCTCTCCCACGCCGATATCTCATCAGATTCTGGTAGAAGAAGCGGTGGTTGGATCACTTTCCCGTTCATCATTGGTCTCTCTCTCTCTCTCTCTCTCTCTCTCTCTCTCACAAGTCCTAATCACTATTCAATTCATTTGTGTGGTCCATTTGCAATTGTATTGGCTACAAATGTCTCATTCTTTACGTGCAGGGATGAGACTGCGCACAGAAATAAGACAGGTTGTTTGTGATTACTTTTAGAATAGCGAAAAGTTAGTTTAACAGTGTTTGACAGAAAACTTGAGAAACGTTTTCTAGAGAAGTACCTGTTCAGATAACACTCAAAAGTGACACTTGAATTTTAATCAAAATTTTAACTTTTTCTAATATAACTGTTTCTAGGAAAAACACTTCCGAGTAATTGCTCCCTTCATAAAGCAGTCTCAAATAGTCGGTTTATTGAGCAGGGGCTTTGGGAGGCTTGACACTTGCAGCTGGGGGATGGATCTCAAATTTGATTGTGTTTCTGATTGAAGAGTTCAATGTAAACAGCATTGATGCTGCCCAGATCTCAAATGTAGTTTACGGTTCTTTCAGTTTTTTCCCAATCATTGGAGCAATCATAGCTGACTCTTTCTTTGGCTCATTCTACGTTATCTCAATATCCTCTTGCATTTCCTTGCTGGTAATGAAAAAGTCAACTTCTTTACTACATGCTTTCACCCTATATAAAACATACATGATTTCTGTGGTTATGGATAATACAATTTCTTGTCAATTTGATCTGAGATCATGTAGATTGTTCATCCACTGATCATCTGAACTGTCATTTCAATATTAGATTGGCAATCCAACAATATAACATGCAAGCTGATATAACATGTACGAATGTGTACTAGACATTCTCCATAAATATATGAACTAGGGTAGCATTCTAAATAATTGATAAATTCGTTGCAGGGCATCGTTCTCTTAGTTTTAACCGCAACGCTGAATTCTTTGAAGCCTCAACCTTGTGCTACCGGCTCAAAGTTATGCCAACCGACCTCGGCATTACAGTATGCAGTCTTGTACACAGGCATAACTCTCGCATCTCTAGGCTTGGGAGGTACCCGCTATACCTTGGCAACACTTGGAGCCAATCAATTTGACAAGCCTAAGCATCAAGCAAGTTTCTTCAACTGGTTCTTCTTCACTCTGTACTCTAGTACAGTGGTAGCCTTTACAGTCATTGTCTACGTTGAAGATAACGTCAGTTTTAAATGGGGCTTTGGCCTATGTGTCATCGCCAACCTAATCGGCATGGCCATTTTCTTCTCTGGAAGCCGTTTCTATAAATTCGATAAACCACAAGGGAGTCCATTTGTTGGTTTCGGTCGTGTTATTGTTGCCTCTGTTCGGAAAACTAGTCTCAAGCCATCAACTGAAAGAAAGGATTATTATTATGGACATGATGGAATGACAAACAATGTGGCTGCAGCAACACTTAGCAAGAGTTTCAGGTACAAACAATTAGTTATGAGCATATAACTCTGCGCAAGGAGAAATTTTGGATTTCAACAACCAAACCATGTGTCCGTGCGGACCAGACACAACACCACATACCTCAATTATCCTGATTTGTTCCTCAAAAAGAAAAAAAAAAAAAAAAAGATCCGCCTTTGTCAATATGGTATGATAGTAGCTAGAGATTTCATTGAAGTACACGTTGACTATAATGTGATGGTTTTTACCACCAATATCTATTGATTTCAAATTATATGCTCAAATTCAATCTTGGTCATAGAGTCAAGCTATCCATGTGTCAAACCAAACAGACACATGTTAGGGACTTACATGTGAACGGTGTGGTGAGATTATCATGTCACGTTATAGAGATGAAGCCTAACTTAGTATATGTGATAATGAGTCTCTCTACCCACTTCCAGTTCGTTTAGAGGTTAGAATGTTCGATCAAATTTTACGAAATTTGACATTCTTTTCAACCTATTTTTGGTTCAATTTGGTAATTATTTTTTCTGCTCTTGCTAGCTTACTAAAGTAAAATTGAATTCTGGAAGCGACTAGCTAAGTAGGCTAAAACCACTTACCAATGAACTTGATGTTCTTAGTGCCATTCCCTCTCCCTCACCATCGCTATAGTACAAAAATTAAAATAAAAAAGTAAAGTTGAGTTCTATTTAAATACGACATTAAAAGACTTCATATTTTCATTCAGGTTCCTTAACCGTGCAGCACAGAAAATTGAAGGAGACGTGAAATCAGATGGCTCAATTGCGAAACCATGGAGCTTATGCACAACGCAACAGGTGGAAGATTTCAAGACCGTTCTAAGAATTTTTCCACTATGGTCTACAGCTTTATTCTTAACTACCCCAACAGCAATCCAATCCAGCATGTCAGTCTTGCAGGCTCTAACCATGGACCGTCACATTGGCCCCCATTTTAAAATGCCATCTGGTTCTGTTATAGTCATTGTTCTATTCTCCACGTCCATCTTTCTAACCCTAATTGATAGATTCTTATGCCCTATGTGGCAGAAGTTCACTGGTCAGTTTCCGTCGCCCCTCCAGCGTGTAGGAGTAGGACACGTGTTAACCATTCTCAGCATGGCTGTTTCAGCAGTGATGGAGTCCAAAAGGCTCAAAATAGTGCAAGAACACCACCTCCAAGACCAGCCTGGTACTATTGTTCCAATGTCGATCTTTTGGCTTTTCCCACAGTTAGTTTTGATAGGCATTGGAGAAGCATTTCATTTTCCAGGACAAGTTGCATTGTATTATCAAGAATTTCCCATGTCACTGCGAAGCACATCGACGGCCATGATCTCATTGATTATTGGGATTGCATATTATGTAAGCACAGGTGTGGTTAATATGGTCCAAAGGGTTACTGGATGGTTACCAAACAATCTAAACAATGGGAAGCTGGACAATGTTTATTGGATGCTAGCTGTGCTGGGGGTGATAAACTTTGGCTATTATTTGGTGTGTGCTAAGTTGTACAAGTATCAAAATGTAAAGGGTGCAGAAGGTAGTCCTGATCCAGATAGCTAGTGATAAGTGATTAGAGTTGGTTGGTGATTAAAGAAATTATCTGGGTCATAAGACTTGGCGCAAACCGAGAACAGTGGCGTTGCCAACCCCACTTAATTAGTGAAATAAGGCTTTGTTGTTGTTGTTATTGTATAAGTTGTCTCATATGTCCCAGCTTTTACAAGTATTGAGATCGCAATAAACATAATTTGAACCAAAGAGTGTCTTATATGCAAAACACATAGTGAGAACTTCTCTCCTTCCATGAGAGCCCTTCTCTCCTTCTATGAGAGTTTCCTCCCTTCCTTTTGGTGAGGGTCTTCATCTTGCCCACCTTCTCAGGCGCCGACTCTGGCTTTGGCTGGAGTCGGTTGCCACTCTTCTCTTCCTCCTCATGTTTTCTCCTCTCCGCCCCTTCTCTGTCTTGTCCTCTTTCTTCTTCTTCTTCTTCTTCTTCTTCTTCTTCTTCTTCTTTTCCCTGATCTCCTTTCCTATCTGGCCATTTTTCCTACCCCCAGCGGCGTTTCTCATTGCTCCCCTCTGCTCCGATTTGTAGCCGCTTCAAAACGCGTATTATTGCGGTTCTTCGAGATGGTGTGTAGAGTTCGGGTGTTCAACACCACCACGTTCTCATTGTCTCTACCTTTATCGGCAGTGTTGTTCGTGGGTTGCCACAAACTTCATCTTGATAGTTGGCTTCTTCTGATCACTTGTTGTCTACCCTTTCTTTGTGGTTGTGGTCGGGGCATTAATTCGATGTGAGATGTTGCAATTGATCTGGCGCTACTTGGCTGTGGACGAGGACTTGGTCGGATCGAGAACTTACTGGTTGGCCTTTTGTAGTTTGTCTTTTTTGGTCCGTGTTTTACTTGCTTATGTGTGTTGTTTGGGCCTTGGGTTTCCTTTTGTGTATCTTTTCGTTGTAATAAATGTGAAGAAGCCTTTTTCCAAAAAAAATAATAAAAGAGTGTCTTATATGCATTTAGACTAAAAATTTTTAAAACAACTGAGGTCAAAAGATTTTATTTTTGCTTTTCCAAAATGTAATAGGGCAGTACATTTAGTGCGTCTTTTGTTTCACGTGTGGATAACCGTCATAGATGGGAAGAGAGGCTGGCTATGGCGTTTGAAGCTAATGTAAACAATTTGAATTCATATGAAAAGTGTCTTATATGCAATTAAACTAAATCGTTGTATTAAAAAAAAGTCAAATAACATATAAATCTGATAGTATACACTATTTACCAAAAAAGAAAAAAATAAGACATATACAACCAACCTGCCTTTGTTTGTCTAACAAAAAACTTATGAAATTGAGATTCTACCATAAAACTAATTGGCAATATAGGGAGTAACCCAAGATCATATAAGCACATAGCAAACTTTGTCCCTCACTAATATGGGACAACTCTCAACACGCCCCCACACGTGTGGCAGATTTTCAAGCCTACACGTGGACAACACCTGGGTGAAGTGGAGCGCGTGTGGCCGTTAGACTTCACACGTACTTGGCTCTGATACCATGATGAAATTGAGGTTCCACCATAAAACCAATTGGCAATATGGGGAGTAGCTCAAGATCATATAAGCAGATAGCAAACATTATCCCTCACCGATGTGGGACAACTCTCAACAAAAACTTCATCTAGTCTATACAACAAGCTAATTTTGACCCTGGATGCTTGATGAATTGTTATCTATTTTTCTTCAGACTAGAACAACAACAACAACAAAGCCTTTTCCCACTAAGTGGGGTCGGCTATATGAATCCTAGAACGCCATTGCGCTCGGTTTTGTGTCATGTCCTCCGTTAGATCCAAGTGCTCTAAGTCTTTTCTTAAGGTCTCTTCCAAAGTTTTCCTAGGTCTTCCTCTACCCCTTCGGCCCTGAACCTCTGTCCCGTGGTCACATCTTCGAACCGGAGCGTCAGTAGGCCTTCTTTGCACATATCCAAACCATCGTAACCGATTTTCTCTCCTCTTTCCTTCAATTTCGGCTACTCCTACATTACCTCGGATATCCTCATTCCTAATCTTATCCTTTCTCGTGTGCCCACACATCCAACGAAGCATCCTCATCTCCATTACACCTACGTGTTGATGCTTCACCGCCCAACATTCTATGTCATACAGCATTGTCGACCTTATTGTCGTCCTATAAAATTTTCTCTTGAGCTTCAGTGGCCTACGACGGTCACACAACACGCCGGATTCACTCTTCCACTTCATCCATCCAGCTTGTATTCTATGGGTGAGATCTCCATTAAATTCTCCGTTCTTTTGCAAGATAGATCCTAGGTAGCGAAAACGGTGGCTCTTTGGTATTTCCTGATCTCCGATCCTCACCCCTAACTCATTTTGGCCTCCGTTTGCGCTGAACTTGCACTCCATATATTCTGTCTTTGATCGGCTTAGGCGAAGACCTTTAGATTCCAACACTTCTCTCCAAAGGTTAAGCTTCACGTTTACCCCTTCCTGCGTTTCATCTATCAACACTATATCGTTTGCGAAAAGCATACACCAAAGAATATCATCTTAAATATTAAGTTTGTGATCTTCGCTAGATTGCTCCGGTCATTAGTGTGGATAAGTATGTAAATGGATAGAGACAGGAAGCAAACACAAAATGTACGTGGTTCACCCAGATTGGCTACGTCCACGGAGTAAAGGAGTTCTCATTAATTGTGAAGGATTTACACAGTATATAGGTTCAAGCTCTCCTTTAGTGAGTACAAGTGAATGATTTAGTACAAATGACATTAGGAAATATTGTGGAAGAATGATCTCGTAATCATGAAACTTTTAAGTACCAAAGTGTGGTATCGTCTTCACTTGCCTTATCTGTCTCATAGGTAGATGTGGCATCTTCTTTGGAAGTACTCTTCCTCCCTCCAGGGGTGGTATCTTTAACTGGTGGAGATGCACAAGGTAATGTATCAATTTCACTTGACGCTTACTTGTAGTTTCAGGCTTGGTCAAGCGCGATACAAACCATGTAGTAGGAGTCCCCCAAGTCGCCGAGCTAGGGGATCTGCTGAAAGAAGTGACAGACAAGGTAAGTAATCAGAGCTCCAAGCAATCAGTCCCAGATCAGAAGTTTGATTTCGAGTTCCGGCTGATTGTTATCCTTCTCCTTATCTTGCAGGTAGCATAAAGGATAAAGAGAAGAAAATGAGAAAATGTGATGTGAGATACTTTTGCTTTTGAAGAAGTAACTTTCCACAGGCTTATTCTTGAACTGGGCTGGAGGGTTTTCTTGTTTCCGCCAGAGTATAAAGCCGACTGAAGAATTTGAGGGTCAAAACAAGTCATCAAATTTAGAGTACGTTCGACCCTGCTGATATGGGATACTTTTTCTGTTGACAAAGTAGTGGATGTATCGGCACGTGTTCTATTGCGCTTGTCTCCACATGCTTCCTTGTATCCTTCTCACTTGCCCTATTTGTTCCTCAGGCAGATGTGGTATCTTCTCGGGAAGCATAAGATGTTGAAGATGAGTACTCGAGAGCAATGGGGTTCTAGGCAGTCAGTTCCGGACTGGAAGCTTGATTCCAAGTGCTGACTGATTGCTCTATTTCTCCTTGTCTTGCAGGTAAGAACAAGGCCAAAGGAAAAGACAGGGAAAAAGCATGATATGGGATACTCTTGCTTTTAACCCTGATGATATGAGATATTCTTGCTCTGGTGTAGCTTGTTTGCAGAGGTATTCTCGGGGGGAAAGAAAGCTGAGTATTTCGAGAAGCGTCGTTGGGAGTGCCCTCTCAGATATGAGGAAGGGTTGAGCATTTTTGCAGGTCTGCCTGTCCGTTGAGGATGGAGGTCGACATATATAGGAGTCTCCCTAACAAGAAGGAGTAATACTATTCTTTTACCCTGCTTGGTCATAACACGGTAGTGGGAGCTGCCAGCTTCACGTGTTTTAACTCTGTCAGAACACTTTGAAAAAGTGGTCTGTGGTATCTGGAAAGCTGATGTTACGTGTGAAGATTACAGACAAGCTTTATCCAAGGAGATCTGGCTCTCGAAGTTGAGAAAGCGATGTAAGGATTACAGACAAGCTTTATCTAAAGGGCTCTCGAAGTTGAGAAAGCGGTGCCTCTTCGGTTTTCGAACAAGCAATCCTGTCGGGGATCTGTCTCTCGAGATTCGGAGAACGGTGCATCTTCAATTTTTGAGAAAGCAATCCTGCTAGGAGTCTGGCTCTCAAGATTCGGAGAACGGTGTCTCGTCGCTTTTTGAGAAAGTAATCATGTTGGGAGTCTGGCTCTCGAGATTCGGAGGACGGTGCCTCTTCGATCTTGAAGCAAGCAATCTTGTTGGGAGTGTTTTCTCGAATGTGAGTAAAGGTTAGGCCTGTTTGCTAGTCTACCTTGCCACGGAGCACAGAGGTTGACACACAGGGACTTTCCAATTATCCAGCAGTGGTCATGTTCCTTGACCCTTGTGGGTAATAATATGGTAGCTAGACGCCTCTTCGATTTTTGAGAAAGCAATCCTGCTAGGAGTCTGGCTCTCAAGATTCGGAGAGCGGTGTCTCGTCTCTTTTTTAGAAAGTAATCATGTTGGGAGTCTGGCTCTCGAGATTCAGAGGACGGTGCCTCTTCGATCTTGAAGCAAGCAATCTTATTGGGAGTGTTTTCTCGAATGTGAGTAAAGGTTAGGCCTGTTTGCTAGTCTTGCCTAGTTGCTACTTGCCACGGAGCACAGAGGTTGACACACAGGGACTTTCCAATTATCCAGCAGTGGTCATGTTCCTTTACCCTTGTGGGTAATAATATGGTAGCTGGACGCCTCTTCGATTTTTGAGAAAGCAATCCTGCTAGGAGTCTGGCTCTCGAGATTCGGAGAGCGGTGTCTCGTCGCTTTTTGAGAAAGTAATCATGTTGAGAGTCTAGCTCTCGAGATTCGGAGGACGGTGCCTCTTCGATCTTGAAGCAAACAATCTTGTTGGGAGTGTTTTCTCGAATGTGAGTAAAGGTTAGGCCTGTTTGCTAGTCTACCTTGCCACGGAGCACAGATGTTGACACACAGGGACTTTCCAATTATCCAGCAGTGGTCCTGTTCCTTTACCCTTGTGGGTAATAATATGGTAGCTAGACCTTCAAAATTTATGTGTCTAAACTTTGTTAGTGATGTTTCTTTGCTATTCTTTTACCCTTCTTGGTCATAGCGATGTAATGGGAGCTGCAAGCTTCACGTGTCTAAACTTTGTCAGAGATTTTTGGCAAAGTTATCTGTGGTACCCGTGAGTTGATGTTGCGTGTGGAAAGTGGATGATTGAACAGTAACATTCACGTGCTTTCTACTTCACCAGAAATCTTCGACAGAATGCCTGTAATTTCCGCAAAGTTGAGTGTGCATGTGACAGGTGCTGACAAGGCTGAAAAAGCAGGTGCCTCTTCGATTTCTGAGATCGGCCCTCGTGGTCTTTGAGCAGCTTAGCTTTTGAGAAAGCAAGCGCCTGTTCGATTTCTGCGATCGACCTTCGTGGTCTTTGAGCAGCCCAGTTTTTGAGAAAGCAAACGCCTTTTCGATTTCTGAGATCGGCCCTCGTGGTCTCTGAGCAGCCCAGCTTTTGAGAAAGCAAACGCCTTTTCGATTTCTGAGCAGACGCCTCTTCGATTTCTGAAGCTTCATTGAGTGCAGATTTTTATAAAGGCTGGTATTAAGTTCCAAAGCACACTTGAATCTCCACCAGTAGAAGCTCCCTTCTTGCATTTCTAAGATCTTGATTTGTCCGACCTCTTTTCTCTTCAACACCTTTGAAAATGTCTGGCCCCTCCGACCGTCGTTTTGACTTGAACCTTGTTGAAGAGGCAGCCACACCTTCTCCAGACAACATATGGTGCCCATCCTTCTTATCCCCTACTGGTCCTCTTACCGTTGGGGATTCCGTGATGAAGAATGATATGACCGCTGCGGTGGTGGCCAGGAACCTTCTCACTCCCAAAGATAACAGACTACTTTCCAAACGGTCTGATGAGTTGGCTGTTAAGGATTCTCTGGCTCTCAGTGTTCAGTGTGCAGGTTCTGTGTCTAATATGGCCCAACGCCTATTTGCTCCAACCCGCCAAGTTGAATCATTGGCGGATGAAGTGATGAGTCTCAAACAGGAGATTAGAGGGCTCAAGCATGAGAATAAACAGTTGCACCGGCTCGCACATGACTATGCTACAAACATGAAGAGGAAGCTTGACCAGATGAAGGAATCTGATGGTCAGATTTTACATGATCATCAGAGGTTTGTGGGTTTGTTCCAAAGGCATTTATTGCCTTCATCTTCTGGGGCTATACCGCGTAATGAAGCTCCAAATGATCAACCTCTGATGCCTCATCCTTCTAGGGTGCTGTCCAGTACTGAGGCTCCGAATGATCCCCCTCCGGTGCCTTATCTTTCTGGGGCTCTGCCTACTGCTGAGACTTCTCCTAAGCAACCTTTGTGAAGGCTCCCTCTTGTTTGTTTATTTTGACTCGTGTATATGTACATATTTGTAACTTCTTAGAGATATCAATAAATAAGCTTTGTTTCATTTCAACGTATTGTGTTAAATACACCAAAGCTTTTCACTAAGTTCTTTGAATTTTTCTTTTGTTGAAGCTTGTATGTTGAAGCTTGTATGTTAAAGCTTTGTGAGTGGAGCATGTAGGTTGAGGTAGTGTTCCCTTAATTTCCCGAGTGGGGAAAACTTCTCGATTGGAGACTTGAAAAATCCAAGTCACTGAGTCAGGTCGGCTATATGAATCTTAGAACGCCATTATGCTCGATCTTGTGTCATGTCCTCTGTTAGATCCAAGTACTCTAAGTCTTTTCTTAGAGTCTCTTCCAAAGTTTTCCTAGGTCTTCCTCTACCCATTCGGCCCTGAACCTCTATCCCGTAGTCGCATCTTCTAACCGGAGCGTCAGTAGGCCTTCTTTGCACATGTCCAAACCACCGTAACCGATTTTCTCTCAATTTTCCTTCAATTTTGGCTACTCCTACTTTACCTCGAATATCCTCATTCCTAATCTTATCCTTTTTCTCGTGTGCCCACACATCCAAGCCACTTAGCATTCTCTTCATCCAGCCGCATCACTCTCCATTCCCTCACTGCCCTTTTTGTGTACGTTTTTGATTCATTCATTCGCTCCCAACCTTTTTGCCATATCAGCATCGAAACGCCGGTTATTTCCTTATTGCATCGTCCTTATTTTATAACTGAAGCATTTCCATATATTCCCGTTAAGCTTTCAGTGGCATACGGCGATCACACAACGCCATCATGCACACTTCCACATCATATCACACTTGTATTCTATGGTTCTATGGTTAGATCTCCATCTAATTCTCCGTTCTTTTGCAAGATAGATCCTAGGTAGCGAAAACGGTGGCTCTTTGGTATTTCCTGATCTCCGATCCTCACCCCTAACTCATTTTGGCCTCCATTTGCACTCACTGTCTTTGATCGGCTTAGGCGAAGACCTTTAGATTCCAACACTTCTCTCCAAAGGTTAAGCTTCGCATTTACCCCTTCCTGAGTTTCATCTATCAACACTATATCGTCTGCGAAAAGCATACACCAAGGAATATCATCTTGAATATGTCCTGTTAACTCATCCATTACCAACGCAAAAAGGTAAGGACTTAAGGATGAGCCTTGATGTAATCCTACAGTTATGGGGAAGCTTTCGGTTTGTCCTTCATGAGTTCTTACGGCAGTCTTTGCTCCTTCATACATATCCTTTATAGCTTGGATATATGCTACTCGTACTCCTTTCTTCTCTAAAATCCTCTAAAGAATGTCTCTTGGGACCCTATCATACGCTTTTTCCAAATCTATAAAGACCATGTGTAAATCCTTTTTCCCATCTCTATATCTTTCCATCAATCTTCGTAAGAGATAGATTGCCTCCATGGTTGAGCGCCCTGGCATGAATCTTGTGTACTGGGCAAATCTTGTGTGCAACCGCTTTATCTTGTCCATAGCCGTTCCGGGTTGTTTTGTTGGGGTTGGCTGCTAGAGCCGTTCGAGTCTTGTGACTGGTTCCGTCCCTGCTTATTCTGACATGGCTTATATCGCCTGGCTTTAACATCTTTCCCATTAACTGAGAATTTGACTTTGCCTTCATGGTCCGGTTTATCAAGAAGTCTTGTAGCGTCTGACGCAGACTTAACAACAACTTGAGCAAACAATGATTGGTCAATTGGATGAACAGGCTTCTTCATAAAGACTGACTCTATACAATCTCCAAATTTCGTGCATATACGTGATGAGTTAAAATAGTTAATCCAGATATTGTTGAAGCTGATAATAATAAGTCAATATATAGTAAAGCTATATATATATCTAGACACGTAAAACTGATCATAAGTCATACCACCGCAACTAATTATATGTTGTGCCATCTCTAAATTAATTAGCGATTCGACAATTTATGGTTAGTTAAAATGGTACAAACTATTTAGATTTCACAATCGGGCAACAATCCACTACTAATCACATGATATTATCTCAACTTAACTGTTTAAATCGGATCAGAGCCCAGCAAGTGTTGGGTTTTATCGCAAATGACCTTGGTGCAATTAGACGTGTAACCAAGCAATATAAGTTGTAATCAATGAAAAAAAGAAACTAGACAGAAATACCTGTTTAAATAGCTTTTGAGTTCTTCTTTTGAAACAGGATGACCCTTTGAGAATGTCAAGGATAAGGTTCTATCATTGTTGTCAACATTAGGTTGATACTGATCAGGCACATCATCATATGCTTCTTGGGGTGGTAATAGAGGAGGTTGAGCCTCAAAAATATTATGACCCTGCTGATGAAGTAAATAATTATGCTGAAACCCTTGTTGTAATATTGGAGTCATTGGACCATTCAACAAATTGGTTTGCTGGAAACCACTGGGTATATGACCCAAATATGGATATGATGGGACTATAATTATATCCCAAAAAGCTCTGTCGAAGACATGGTCGATAAATCTCCTCATCTCTTCCCGGGCCTTCTCCTTGTTCTCAAACACAAACTCGAGTGGAATATTTTTGGTAAGTAGAAGAAGACACAGTGTTCGAAACTGACTATCAATTTCCTCCGACGCCAGAGGATCAGTGTAATTTGAGCGCAGATAGTGTAAGCACATAATCGACTCGCATGCTAAAGCATACAGGTCCGAGTCATGTAAGGCTAACGTGGCCGCCATAAACTTGTAGTGAGTTTGTGTGTCCAGAAAATACCAAAAGGCTATGACAAGCTTAGATTGGTTAGGATCAAAACGTAAACCCAGCAGTCGAACGTATATTGTGCGATCGATTGAATGGAATAGCTTTAGCTCTTCAAAGGCTCTGTAAGATGGCAAGTCCATGATGATGTAAGTGCCAGTAACTCTTGGAGCGTTTGCTTTTGAAGGGAAACTCTATTATGTGACCCAATTAAATTCTCCACGTGCTAAAGGGTTTTGCACTTTTACTATTGTGTTAGGGTGTCAATACCCTTTTTATCCAAATATCGACAGGTAATTCCCAATCCTTTTTATTTTGGTTTTTGTATTCCTTAGTTGTTTGGATATTTACCAAGTTTGCATTTAGCCTTGAGGGTGGCGAAAATCCTTATGCTTCTTTCTTATTCATTCACACAATTAACACAAGCTCCAATTGTCATGGTTTTTTTATATGTTTGGAACTGCGAGACATGGTGCTCTTCGAGAAACTAGCTGGAAAGATGTAAACCGGCGTTACTATTTTGTCCTTTTTATTTTGATTTTGTGTAAGAATTACAAGAAGCTCGCTAGGAGTTTGTTGGTTTTGGATTCTCTCATTCTCTCTTTAGGAGAGTTCTTTTATTTTAGTTTTCTTCTCAGTCTGCTAGATCTCTTTTAGATCTATATGTGAAGAGGTAAGGTTGTTTGATTAGCTAGATCTACTTCATTTGGTATACTAGGTTCATGGTGGTGATGAGGTAGTCAGGTTGCGGAAAGAGGCCTAATCGTGGGCCCAGCGCTTAGGGGCTTAGATAGGAGCCTAGACGGGTTTTTTAGTTTAATAACATTTACTATATAATATATAAATAAGCATTAAATAATACTTATGTCATGAACATAAAATAAAGGTAAATTAAGAAAATTCTACAAGCAATAATTATATGGAGTCCTTACAACCTTTTCTGAAGTCTCTGGATAGAGGTCACAACTGCAGCAACACCAGTACGGATTGAAAGACTGGCTTAATGAGCAAGAGTCTATGGTTAAGGAGCCTTGCGTACGTGCACTCAAGAAAAGAGAAGACTAGCAGTATCAGGAGAAAATTAGGGATAATTCTCCCACAAAGAAGACAACCATACCATCCACACAATTTATACATACATTCTTCCCAATTGCTTAGAGAGCTACTGCCCAAACACCTTGCGTTTCGCAAGTGATCAATCAAGTTCAACCTGGATTGCTTGTTTTCAGTTTGACTAATCTATTCTACATCGACATTCAATAATCGTTCTAAGAATTTTGGCGGTTATATGGAGCTTCACATATTAAACTCACATTAGGTAGTTTTTGCCAAACACTTATAGAGGGGTAAAGTCGAATTTGTTCAAGTTCGACACGTCATTGCAATGGAGGAAACAAGATTGTAGTTAGTCTTATGAAAAGTAAAGATCCACAGACATAGAGCTTGTTTGGGTGTGTTTTTGAAATGATTGAAAGCGCTTTTGGTGAAAATGTTTTTGGAACCAATCTTTAGTAAAAATGCAAGTCAATCATGGAAAAACATTTAAAGTGCTTCCGGGAAGAAGCACATAACTGGTGCTTCTTGCAGAAAGCATTTCAAGTGCTTTTGGAATCTAAAACAATTTTCTCTAAAAGCACTTTCAGTCATTTTAAAAACACATCCAAACGAGCCTATAAAGAAGAACATTCAAGTTCTACATATATGTTTTGGTTTAATTTTCATGAAAAACTTCGGATTTCATGGGTATATGTTTTGTATGAAAACTTCGGGTTTCAAAGACACTAAATTTGAAACTACATATTCGATTTTAGATGAACTTCAAGTTCATAAAAGGGTACCTACAAGAACACATAATACAATATACAATCCTAGTATAGTAAATTTGTAGTTGCTTCGAAAACCTAGTATGAGTAGCTTTGAAACAACGAAAGGTGTCAACGCTTCAAATATAAATAATAATGAATTTAATCGTTAATTTACACACTTGAGATGCTTGAGATGCTAGCCAGGATTTTTTTTTTTTTTTTTTTTTTTTTTTTGCGCCAATAGATTGAGAGACAAAACAGGAGACTGTCGTGGAAGCATGAAAATATAGACATTCAGGTCATATTGGTTTTGGATGGCTGCGGGCCGAACAATTGAGAAATAGTGCCCAAAAATGGGCTTAGTCGTGGGCACCTCAACATGGTTGGGTGCGGGGTGGAAACAAAACATGCCAAAAATTTGGCTTGGGCAGAGGAAAGGGACAGGCCAGCAGCATCGGGCTGAAAAAAAAAGGAAGGTGGCCCATAAGACAGGGCGGTCCGAGAAGCAGGAGCCCAGCATGGCAGTTGCAGGCTGCTGGGAGAAGCCCAAGAAGTTGGGTTTGGGCTCAGCTGAGGCAACAAGCCCAAACATGGGGATGCAGGTCGAAACACCAAACGGTGTCGTTTTGGAGCAGTGGTCAGAGCTGCAGGCTCGGCTTCAGGCCAAGCCAGGTCCGGCGGCACAGCACCAGGCCACAACTTATCATTTTGGTTAAATCGAAACAACATAAATGTTGGATTAAATAAAAGAAATAATCCTGTTGACTGTGAGCTTAAATTAAAAGAGTTGGCGCACTTCTATCTTACCAATTAATTTTAAAACAAACTTTAAAATACCCTTCAAATTATAATACTCCCTCATTGAATCCCTGTCTTGCAAAACATGCTTAATCATTTTCTAAACACAATGACGAGGTGGGACTAATGTCTGAGGACTCTTTGAGTCTCTATCTTTCCATGAAATAAATAATATTTCCGGTATGTTAGGCATGGCATCCTTTAATTATTTGCAAATTGCAATACATGTTTAAGACTTCATCTTAGTATATCAAGGAATATTGCCACCTTCTTTCACGGGCAATATTCTTCATGCATGGTATGTAGCTTTAAACTAAGTTTAACAATCAATTGGTGTGTTTTTAATCAATGACAAGAGATGTTCGAACTTTAGACTTCTCTAGCACGATAAAAAAAAAATTACTAAATCAATAGTAGTCGACAAATTTTGACTTGAAACATCTTTTTAAGTTTGTTCTTTATAATTTCTATTAACAATGACGGCTCCACTGAAGGGACCTACTGAGCAACTTTTGGTCGGTGGGGATGATGGCCTCTACTGAGCAATGTTTTGTCACGTACTCTTCCTAACGTAGATTTGAAACCAACTTAGAATGAAATGAATTATACGCTTTACAAATAAAAAAGATTTAAGTAAAAGAGATGTTGAGTTTTTCTTCCCTCTATTTCTTATTAGTGGAGCTTGCAAACTTATGTACATTATATTTTTTTTATGTACACAAACATAATCTTGAATCCGCCAATAATTTCTAATGTTGTATTTGATATTGATTCATAAAATAGGCTTCTCAGCTTATCTAATGACCAAGTTTTAGAATTCATTTAAACCTTTAGAACATATCCCAACTTCAAATCCTTTGTACCCCTATGGTGTTTGAAAATTCCTTTCATCCATTTGGCTAGAAATTATATTGCTAGTGTTATACAGTAGTAAATACTTTAAGCTGAAAGTAGTGGTAAATTAGCATGCAAATATTTCACATAAAAATGCTACAAGAAGCAAATTGTCACATCCCGGCCCAGGGCGAACCACTTTCCGGGCCCGCTCCACCACCGTAGCACGATATTGTCCGCTTTGAGCCCCAACCACGCCCTCACGGTTTTGTTTATGAGAACTCACAAGCAACTTCCCAGTGGGTCACCCATCTTGGGAGTGCTTCGGCCTCCTTCTCGCTTAACTTCGGAGTTCCAACGGAACCCGAAGCCAGTGAGCTCCCAAAATGCCTCGTGCTAGATAGGGATGTGAATATACATTTAAGGATCACTCCCTTGGGTGATGTGGGATGTCATCCACCCCCTTAGGGGCCCGACGTCCTCGTCGGCACACCACGACCAGGGTTAGGCTCTGATACCAAATTGTCACATCCTGGCCTGGGGCGAACCATTTCCCGAGCCCGCTCCACCACCGTAGCACGATATTGTTCGCTTTGGGCCCCGACCACGCCCTCACGGTTTTGTTTATGGGAACTCATAAGCAACTTCCCAGTGGGTCACCCATCTTGGGAGTGCTTCGGCCTCCTCGCTTAACTTTGGAGTTACAACGGAACCTGAAGCCAATGAGCTCTCAAAAGGCCTCGTGCTAGGTAGGGATGGGAATATACATTTAAGGATCACTCCCTTGGGCGATGTGGGATGTCACACAAATGCATGCTTTTCAAGTTTTGGACAAAATGACGTGAGAGTGTTTTAATTATTACATAAAAGTAAATAAGATGAAAAGCAAGGTCCAAATATGAACAAATAAATTCATTCGCCACATCAGTTGGTGTCTAAAAATCTAGATTTTTTTTTTAATAAAGACAACTGGTGGAAAGCCATGGTTACTCACCACTTTCGGGAATCTAGAGTCTGTTTTGATGTTTATAATATTTACTCAATATTTTGTACAAGTCCCTTCCACGAGCACATTGTTTTCATTTTCATAAGAAGCATCTAAAGTTTAAGGGGGAAAATGGATGAAGACATGGATAATATTGAATTGTTTGTGACATATTAACGGGAAAAAAAATTGTCAAGTGATGAAGTTCTTAATCAATGAAAAAAGTATGATAACATGTACGAGAGTATATGTTCACATACAAAAATAATAATTTAAATTTCTTCACTAATGGAGGATGGCAGACGCACGTGGTTTGTGGTCGCGTAGAATTGAAGGATTATATTTCGACCAAAAAAAAAAAGAATTGAAGGATTATTTAAACCGATGCAGTGAGTTCATGTTGAATATCACACTTTGAGCTAGCTTAATTAGTACTTGACCCTCCACCATGGATGAGTCCCTCTCCCACACTGATGCACATATCCCATCAGATTCTGGTAAAAGACGCGGTGGTTGGGTCACTTTCCCGTTCATCATTGGTCTCTCTCTCTCTCTCTCTCTCTCTCTCTCTCTCTCTCACACACACACACACACAACACACACATATCCTAACTAATCAATTAATCTGTATGGTCGATTTTCAATTGCATTGCCTACATGTGTCTCATTCTTTACGTGCAGGATGAGAATGGACACAGAAATAAGACAGGTCATATATTTATGGGCTTCTTTGCGACTGCTTTTGTAAAATAGTGATAAACGCTTTTAACAGTGTTTGATAGAAATTTTGAGACACGTTTTATAGAGAATACTTGCTAGATGTTTCTTCAGATAACACTTACAAGTGACACTTGAAATTTTAATTAAAATTTCAACTTTTTCTAAAAAAAGTGTTTCTAGAAAAAACACTCATGAGTAATTACTCCCTACATAAAGCAGTCTCAAATAGTTGGTTTATTGAGCAGGGGCTTTGGGAGGCTTGACACTTGCAGCTGGGGGATGGATCTCAAATTTGATTGTATTTCTAATTAAAGAGTTCAATATAAACAGCATTGATGCAGCCCAGATCGCAAACGTGGTTAACGGTTCTTTCAGTTTTTTCCCAATCATTGGAGCAATCATAGCTGACTCTTTCTTTGGCTCATTCTCCGTTATCTCAATATCGTCATGCATTTCCTTGCTGGTAATAAGATGTCAATTTCTTTAGTACATGCTTTCACCCTATTTAAAACATAGATGATTTCTGTGGTTATGGATAATACAATTTCTTGTCAATTTGATCTGAGATCATGAAGATTGTTCATCCACTGATTATGTGTAACTGTCGTTTCAGTATTAAATTCGCAAGCCAACAATATATCATGCAAGCTGATATATCATATACGAATGTTTACTAGATAATCTCCCATACATATATGATCTAGGGTAGCATTCTAAATAATTGATAAATTCGTTGCAGGGCATCGTTCTCTTAGTTTTAACCGCAACGCTGAATTCGTTGAAGCCTCAACCTTGTGCTACCGGCTCAGAGTTATGCCAACCGACCTCGGCATTACAGTATGCAGTCTTGTACACCGGCGTAACTGTCGCATCTCTTGGCTTGGGAGGTACCCGCTATACCTTGGCAACACTGGGAGCCAATCAATTTGATAAGCCTAAGCATCAAGCAAGTTTCTTCAACTGGTTCTTCTTCACTCTATACTCTATTACAGTGGTAGCCCTAACAGTCATTGTCTACATTGAAGACAACGTCGGTTTTAAATGGGGGTTTGGCCTTTGTGTCATCGCCAACCTAATCGGAATGGCCATTTTCTTCTCTGGAAACCGTTTCTATAAATTTGATAAGCCACACGGGAGTCCATTTGTTGGTTTAGGTCGTGTTATTGTTGCCTCTGTTCGGAAAACTAGTCTCCAGCTATCATCTGAAAGAAAGGATTATTATTATGGACATGATGGAGTGACACATGACGGAGTGACAAACAAGGTGGCTGCAGCAACACTTAGCAAGAGTTTCAGGTACAAACAGTATAGGTTAATATATACGCAATTTAGAGATAGAGAGAAATATGCACAATTTCAAAATCAAATTATATGCTAGATAGTGTTTTCTTGTCAAGCAATTACTTATGAGCATTTACCTCTAGGCAAGGAGAAAGTTTGGGATCCGACAATCGAACCACGTATCCTTGTGCACCCAAACACAACACCACATACCTCAACCATCCTAATTTGTCATGCTAATCTTATCCCAATTTAGTCCCACCCTCTCCCTCACACCAACCCCAATTTGGTTTCCTAACCAAGAACCTCTCCTGCACAAGAATCAATATAATCAATATAGTAGATTAGTATAACAAAAGTGCATTTCTTATCATATGTATTTTAATATTATTTTTAGTTTGTTGATCTTTCTTTAAATTTAGTTTTTCGTTCCTCAAACAGAAAAAAGAAAAACTTCGCCTTTGTCAATATGGTACAATAGTAGAGATTTCATTGAAATACAGGTTAAATATAATATGATGGTTTTTACCACCGATATCTATTGCTTTCTAATTATATGTTCAAATTCAATCTCGGTCATAGAGTCAAGTTATCCATGTGTGAGATCAAACGGACACATGTTAGGCATAGAAGACTTACATGTGAAAGGTGTGTTGAGATTATTGTGTCACACTATAGGAGATGAAAGAGCCTAACTTAGTATATGTGATAATGAGTCTCTCTACCCACTTCCAGTTTCATTAGAGGTTAGAATGTTCGATCAAATTTTATGAAATTTGACATTCTTTTCAACCTATTTTTGGTTCAATTTGGTAATTATTTTTTCTGCTCTTTGCTTGCTTACCGAAGTAAAATTGAATTCTGGAAGCGACTAGCTGAGTTGGCTAAAACCATTTACCAATGAACTTGATGTTCCTAGTACCACCCTCTCCCTCACCATCGCTATAGTACAAAAAATAAAATAAAATAAAATAAAGTAAAGTTGAGTTCTATTTAAACGACATTAAAAGACTTACTATTTGCATGCAGATTCCTTAACCGTGCAGCACAGAAAATTGAAGGAGACATGAAATCAGATGGCTCAATTGCGAAACCATGGAGCTTATGCACAACGCAACAGGTGGAAGATTTCAAGACCGTTATAAGAATTTTTCCACTATGGTCTACAGCTTTATTCTTAGCTACCCCAATAGCAATCCAATCCAGCATGTCAGTCCTGCAGGCTCTAACCATGGACCGTCACATTGGCCCCCATTTTACATTGCCATCTAGTTCTGTTATAGTCGTTGTTTTATTCTCCACATCCATTTTTCTAACCCTAATTGATAGGTTCTTATGCCCCATGTGGCAGAAGTTCACTGGTCAGTCTCTATCGCCCCTCCAGCGTGTAGGAGTAGGACACATCTTAACCATTCTCAGCATGGCTGTTTCAGCAGTGATGGAGTCCAAAAGGCTCAAAATAGTGCAAGAACACCACCTCCAAGACCAGCCCGGTACTATTGTTCCAATGTCGATCTTTTGGCTTTTCCCACAGTTAGTTTTGGTAGGCATTGGAGAAGCATTTCATTTTCCAGGACAAGTTGCATTGTATTATCAAGAATTTCCCATGTCGCTGCGAAGCACATCGACGGCCATGATCTCATTGATTATTGGGATTATATTATGTAAGCACAGGTGTGGTTAATGTGGTCCAAAGGGTTACTGGATGGTTACCAAACAATCTAAACAATGGGAAGCTGGACAATGTTTATTGGATGCTAGCTGTGCTGGGGGTGATAAACTTTGGCTATTATTTGGTGTGTAGTAAGTTGTACAAGTATCAAAATGTAAAGGGTGCAGAAGGTAGTCCTGACCCAGATAGCTAGTGATAAGTGATTAGTGTTTGTTGGTGATTAAAGAAATTATCTGGGTCATAAGACTTGGCTCAAACCGAGAACAGTGGCGTTGCCAACCCCACTTAATTATTTGGTGTGTGCTAAGTTGTACAAGTATCAAAATGTAAAGGGTGCAAATGGTAGTCTTGACCCTAATAGCTAGTGATAAGTGATTAGTGTTCGTTGGTGAGTAAAGAAACTTTATCTTGGTTATAAGTCGTCTGATATGTCCCATATTTTACAAGTATTAAGACAGTAATAAACATAATTTGAACCAAAGAGTTTAATATTTAAGCTAGAATTTTTAAAAACAACTGAGGTCAAAAGATTTTATTTTTCTCTTCCAGAATATAATAGGGCAGCACATCTAGTGACGTATTTTGTTTCACACTAGCTAAAATGCCCGCGCGTTGCTGCGGGACTTGAATGCACCAGCCTTAACCACATGAATAAGACATTTAATCTGCAAAAAAATTCATCATAATCAGGAACAAACAAAAGGGATAGATGAGTGAAAGATGTTGGTAAGATGAGAGTTGAATCAAAGGAATCAGTAGTGTAAAACTGACAAAATGCTTACAAATTCAACTCCAATTGTGCTGATGTAGCTATCCAAGTATGAATTATCCTATTCAACGATTCCGAAGCTCAGACAAAAATTGCATGAGAAAAATTGAGATTATATGCAATTGTATGTCAAATAATCTGAAAAATACCATATATCCAATTTAAGTGCATACACCTATAAACTAATCTTCATATATACTTTAAAATAATACAGATCAATGTAATCTAAAACATTGGAAACATTATCATACAATTAAAGAATCACGATGCAGAAAATGTTCTTTCCATTATTTTCAAATAACTTTTCACCCCACAACACTGAGACAGAGAGCATACCCATACCAATGGAGGAAGGGAAACACAAAATACACTACTTGATCGCTTGTGGCTTATAGCTTTTATTGCTCAACCTGTCTTTATCTTCGTGTATCTCTCTGATTGAAATATTATTCATATAAAATTTCATTACAGTATAAAGTATATTTATATATAACATAATAACCTTTTAAAAGCAATATCTTATAAAAACATTCCATCAATCTAAGAAAACTGATGACAATCGTAAGCTAAACAATGAAATACCAAATAAAAACTATAAGCAGCAGTAATCTTCAAATCCGAACCTCAAATTCAAACTTTTCTTGTAATTCAAAAATTAAAAAAAGGAGGAAATGAAATATTAAAAAAAAATAAAAATCATAAACCTGCTTTGGAGTTTGCGGGAGGTTTGGAGTAGTGATCTGGAACGACATCGGTGCATTTTTTGTAGAAGCAGAATCGCTGGCTTCCACGATCATCAAGCAGAATCGTACCATTTTAATCTAGAAGTATAAAATAAAAAACCCTACACTCATCAAAGTAAACTAACGGCATGGGAAGAAATAGTAAGAGAATTCTACCAAAAACCAATTAAATACCAGCTCAAGAATGAATCGAAAGCATATATCTTATTTCATAGGTTTATGACAATTTAGGGTCAATAATCTTTGCACCTAATTAGCTCCATATGGGCTCCAGATACAAATCTAATCCATAAATGTGATATTATACCTGGTCTAAAGAACACAGAGAGCCCAAAATCTATTGTCTTAAGTGGTGCATCCTCTTTCTGGTTGACAAATAGAAAATCTCTGGCTTTAAGTCCCAATGCATGACACCCAAAGAATGGCATGCTTCGAGGACACCAGTGATAACCCATGCAAGCTTTAGCTGCCTTTCTCTATGTAATGCCCAGACCACTTGAAAGGAGTCATTTGTAAGTCCCATGCCTACGCTTTGTAATGATGCAATTTTTTGACCCTGCAATTTTTTAAATTTTTTATTTGAATTTTGTTAAATTAAGTAATTTCGGGGAGGCCTACGCTTTCAAACTATAATCGACAACCGACATAAATAATTTGCACAGAAAGATGAACTAAAAAGGCGGCAAGAATGAAATCACACCCTTAAATGCACCAATGCAAATAAACACATTTTACCAGAATAAATCCAACAAAATCACAAATCAACAAAGGCATCTCTTAAGAATTTAAATAACCAAGATTTGGATGAACTGATTGTGAGTATTTGTGCATAGATGTGTAACTATTTACATAAAACATGTGAAGGACAATCAGTTTAGAGTTTCAAAATATATAATATTACAATTTCCATAAAAGATCAAGTATTGGGAAACAAAATTGGCATCTCACCTTCCACAATAGGTCGACAAATCCTTTGATTATGCTTTAGCTTCTTGTTTACCTGAAAACACAAATTCACTGTTTAGAATATCATAATTTCATGAAATGGTTCACCCTTGAATCAAGAAGAACTCCTTTGTTTTATGTATGGTACCGATAATCAACTCATAATATTGGATCTCAATTTATTTCAAACTTTTATGCATTTTTGACTATTCTAGGATCCATTTAGGCAATCTCTTAGACCATTAGTTTGTTCCCTTTGACTAAAATAAAAAACAGCACATCCGCTTGCTGCTTAGTGACTTGATAAGTCAGTCACAAAGATAACATGTAGAATGCAAATATGGATCACGAAAAACAACAGCTATAGAATTGATTATATAGAAGAAGAATACAAACTTATTGTGAGGTTATCCCAGCTATCCACTATGACCCAGTATATATAGCAAGTAAAAACTACAGAAGCAAAGATCTCATTCAATGACAGTTTGTTTCTTATCCAGAAAAATAAAATGAACAGGTTAATGACACTCTCAAAGTTGGTTTATGTTCAAATTAGTGAATTACCATAATCTTTGCTGGTTGGTTTTCAATCTGTATCTTAATTAGTAAACATGCTTACCAATCCAATGCCAACCTTCTTTTTAAGAATTAAAATGACACTATTTTTGTCCCTCATGGAGTTTGATAAATTTGCTCGATCGTTTATACGTGTACTCCTGGGAGTTCTTAAATCATCGTTCTACTACTCAACAGACATCAATCTGAAACATATGGCTTGTTCAGGTACGCTCTCTTGTTTGAAATTTGTCTCTCTTTTTATGCTGTTTGGTATGGTTAGTTAGTTTTCCCATATCCTTAGATCTCTCAGTCCAAGTTCAATTCAATATTGATTATTTGCTACAATATCTTCTCCTATTGTTGCGAGAGAATTCATATCAAGATTAACTTCATTATTTAATTCGAATGGAATCCAAAAGCGGTATAAATATGAAGGATAAAAAAGTAATAACAAAAGTCACATTTCAGCAGCAATTAATAGCAGAAATCAGAAAATAATTTCAGTAAAATAGAAAGCAAAGATTAGAACTCAACCCACTTCTACATTAGTAAGAATAAGAATGATTACGCTTAATCTAGAGAGAGAAACACAAAGATCAAAACATCAGGCATTTATTTTTGAAATACAGAGATCAAAATTTTAGGCATTTATTTCTGAAACAAAATAAATGAACAAAACCATCAACATCAAGGATGATTACAATTGATGGGTGCAATATGGAATATAAGTTTATGGAGAGAGAAACAACCAAACTTCACACTGGATCATATTTTTTATAGAAAGAGAGAGTTGGAAGTACTTTTCAACAGCAGAGGTCAATCTTGGGCATAAAAAGAAAACATAGAAGCTTCACAGCACAATAATTAACCACAATCCTTTGTTTTTCTAAGTGCAAATAGAAAAACAGAATCAAAGTATTGAACACAAAATCTTCACATTAGCCCAAGAATTATATTGTTTCTAGAGCTTTCCAAATTGCCAGCACGGAACGACAAACATAAAAGCACTAAAATATATAATTGGAAATATAAAAATAACAATTCCAAGAAACTAAATGGGAAGTTGGGCAGATCTGCACAGTAACACAAACTCATTACTCAAAATTAAGAGCATTGCGGCTCACCCTGAAAGTACCTCTTTTCCGATAAGGGAGAGAAAGGCCGTTGTTCTGGCTACTGAGTGCTGCTGGCTCCAAAGCAGTTTATGTTCCAGAACTTTATAAGAGCAAGTCACCCATTCAAAACCACCATAAATCGCGAGTTTACATCATTTTGCTACAAAAAAAAAAAAAGCAAACAAAAAAAAGGAAAAAAATAGAAAGTATAAGATTCAAACATGTTTACAATTACAAACACTTTACAATGCGTGTAAAAATTAAACGTTCTCAAGCACCCATGTCTCCAATTCGAGGCTAAAACCCAATTCCACAAAAGAAATCAACAATTTTGATCAAAACAGAAAAGCCAACAGACTCAAAAGGCCAGAATACAATTATACATATCCTTAGCTGCTATGGAAATCAACAGTTCCATATAAGTATACAAAAGATTTTCTTACACCTAATTTCGCAGCTTAGAGAGCAATAGTTATACTAAAACAACAATTAATTGAAACGATTGAAGGGGAAAAAAGCAAAAGTGGAAAAAAAGAATTCAACAAAGATTGTGTTCCCAATCTAAATACATTATATACTCCAGCACAAAATAAAACCCAGGTGTCCTTTAGCACCGAAGCTCTGTTCATGTGGATTTTGGGAAAAAAAAACCGTTGAAAACTTAACAATCCAGATTAGGGGAAACAATTACGGAAAATTAACAACAACTAAACAAATTAAAGAACTGAAAACCCACAAAAAAAGCCCAAAAAAAAAAAAACCAACTGACCTTAAAACAAAGAACATACTGAACAGAAAGGGAATCCCCAAAATTAGAGAAAATGAAACAAATAAGGGAATAAAGAGAGAGATGAATCCGCCAAAACCGGACCTAATGTACTAAAAAATTTGAAAATCTAATCTAACGTTAAAGAATCCAATTTAAAAAATGAACTTATCTTAGGAAATGATCACAAAATCCGGCACACATCATCCTCAGTAGCCTCTGCTCATGACCCCTACCCTCCTCCCTGAAATCCTGAATACCCCATATGGTTCTCTCTCTCCCTCTCTCTCTCTCTCTCTCTCTCTCCCCAAAATGGGAAGTGGAAAGTTTGGTCATGCAAGACTTAAGACATTAATTATTTAAAGGACCTAATGGATGGCAGAAAATGGTTGGGGGAGACGGGTTAGGATAGTAGGAAATGGACCAGTTTTTTTAATTCCTTGAGTCCATAATTTTGTAAGTGGTTTGCCAACTCCTTAATTTAATAAAATTAGTTTAGGACTTTGTGAGCATGGGCGCTGCATGTTTACAACAAAACAATTTTAAAGTTGAAAAACCTAACCCACTTATGAAATGTATTAAACCTTAAAGAGAGCTCAACCTCTAATAATAATCTTATTAAATTAAACCATAACCAAATTAAATAATGCAGACACAAAAGCACAACTATTGTCACACGAAGGAATTCACGATTAATACAATGTATATCTGTCGATAAAAAGATCTGTAGTAGCAAGCAATTCATCACACTATATAATTTGTCATATCTACCGTGCACTGCACTGCTTGGCCTGAAGTAGAGAAAAGAAACTAAGTATATCGTATAAAACCTCAGGGCAAACAAATAACTATAGAAGACAACGCATCTAATTGCAAATCACATGTACATCAAGGTTATGATCATCCATGTCTAGGTTTAAGACAATTTTAAGTAAAATTGCCACTATATATACACGGAGGGTGTCAAAGGAATTATATACTTTAATTAGTAAAATCAACGGCATATAAAATCCAAAAAGGGAATTCAAATTGGAACAGACGGAAAATAGATAAAAGATTTACCAGAAGCAAAACAATCACACAGTATTATCTCCACAATGAAGAAATTGTATCGCCAAAATGGAGATACATAAGTCTCAGACGGTTTATAGATGAAGGGAGATAGCAAAAATAAAAAGCGTAATCAGACAGATGAACAATGAAAATTAAACATACCAGGTGAGCAATACCAGACATTCCTGCCTTCAAGCAATCGGTTATTGTCTCCATGTTCAACTAAACCTCTATAGAAAACTGCAAAAAAACAGATGAGAATCACTTAGAAACGGGGAAAAAGTTTTCCATTAGCATTTTTCCAAAAGAAGGCAATCAATTGCTTTCACATTTAAAAAATAAAGTTTGAAAATTAAAAATGAAGCAAGTTGAGGAGAAGAAGCAGGTGACGGTAGACGATACATAAGTTTTTAGAGAATATCAAAATATATAATCTAGAAAAACAAATAAAGCAGCCAATCCGAAGTTAAATAAACAGAAAGAAAAAGACAACTTGAATTGAAAAAAATTCTTTTCTAAACACTTCATTTTCTATATTCTATTGGGTTCAATTTTTCACCAATTCTGCTTGGTTAAAAAGACATACCGCCTTCAGAAAATGACAATCTGCTTGGTTATATAATCTAGCACCAATTCTGCAACACCTTTCATGGATGCAGCTGCCTTGAACAGATCGGATTACATATGGCCAGCGGAGACGAACAATCTAATTCCTAATGGAAGATGACATTTATCAAGCGATGACTTTTTGGAGGCAACCACAAAGATGGAATGCTCTTTCAACAACTGCATAACCACAACCATTACAATTAAAAGTAGAGAGGCAGAAAAGGACAGAAAAGGATTCACAGAATCTGCTTTCTGTAGTCTGAGGAAGACAATTCAGGATTCTGGACTGCTAGCGAATGAGAGGCCCTGTATAGCTGACAATCCTGCACACCACATCACATCACGTCACATTTCTCAATCAAGAGCATCATAATGCAAGGCAGATAGTAAGTGATCTCACAAAGCAAAGGGGATGCCAAGGAAATTGATCAAGTGATGAGTACACACCACGGCGCTGACAACTGTCCAGATACAGAATAAAGAACATCAAACTACATGCAAGTGAATAAGAGATCAAGAACATACCTTTCCATAATATGGCAATATTTTTCTTCAGCTTTGTTATCAGACCAGGGTTTTCCTCGAGGATATCAATGGCAGTAATGGCAGCACTCGCAAAATATGGGGGCAAAGAAGCAGAAAAGACGTACCCAGAGCTACTCAATCGCTGCCAAATACCATATCCCAAAATTTTATCATTTAGAAACTTTTGACGCTTTTTGTTTAATATATGCATGCACATAAGTGATTGTGAGCACATAATTAAGCATTCACTAAAATAGAAAGATAAGAAAGTCATTTGCTTGTTAAAAATTTCATCTATCAACAGAGACATCATATAAATGGTTAATAGTGTGTATTCGGTAAACATACTTGGTGATTGGTGACTCTAGCACTTCCAGTGCAAAATCCTCCTTCTGTGGCTAATGCGTGTCCCATTGCACCAGTAATAATATCTATTTTTTCAACCTGCAAAATCACACAACCAGAAATCACAAACAGGTAATGGATCAATAGTTCTGAGAGATACAAAAAAAGACGGGTTTCTAAAAATACCGGAATCCTACAGTATTCAGTTACCTCTTCCAGATTTTCCAAGCACACCAAATGAGTTACTCTCATCCAATAACACATGAAACTTATATTTCTCCTTCAATTCAACTATCTTGTCTAAAGGGGCTATTTGGCCAGAATTCTGCAATTTTTATTAAAAGGAAACAAAATTCAAATAAAATCAACCTACATCTAATTGCATTCAGCTATTGAAGTTCTCAGAAAAGCTGAAGACAATTTGTCAAGATGCAAATGACAACGTTGAATGCTGAAAAGACAGTTTGTTTTTCTATTTGCCAGTGATTCACGTAGAGATGGAAGTTTTCCTCAAAATGTAACATGACACCAAGACTTTAAGAAAAACCTTAAAAAATTGTGTCCACTGAAGTATGAGCAACCTATTTTGTGAAAGTGGATGATGCTGGATTGAATCAAAAAACAGCTCACAACATATAAAAAAATGAATAAATAAAATTTGATATACAGGAAAGCAACATACAGGAAAATAACCAAAAATACCAACGAAAAAAAGGGAAAACAATATACAGGAAAATACATTATCTTCATAAGTAAGAAGCAGATTGGAACAATGGAATTAGCAAAAAGCAAAAAAGCCCCAGCTCAAAACCCAATTTTTTTTCTAAATCTAATCCTAGATATGAACATTTCAGCGAAACCTAAACCCTGGACAGGCACAAATATTCAACTCTTCATAGAAAATTTAAAAGAATGACAACCCCAGCAAAAACCAAAAAAAAAATAAAAAAATAATCCAAACATATCCAAAATTAGCAAGAGAAACACAAACCCAAAAGCAAATCAGCCTCTCACACTAAGCAAACACAGTAGCAGCCATGCACGCCCATGGCTCTTTCATCTCAGGAGGCCATGACTGACGACGGAATAAACAAAAATACCAAAGAAAGATCAGATTCCAAAAAAAACCCAAATCGAAATGAACCCTAGAAATTGAAATTCAGAATTGAAAATTCAAATTGGGGGAGCTCTGATATTTTACCTAAATAGCAACTTAGGAGTTGCCGCTGCACCACTAATTCACAACTAAGCCGTAGCCATATCCATTCCTCAACAATCTTTGAATTCTAATTAAAACACAAAAAATATTGGAAAATGGTTAAAGATAAGTTATATAACCGCAGGCAAATCCATTCCTCAGCAATCTTTCAATTTTAATTATAAAAAAAAAAAAAATTGTTAATGATAGGTTACACACCTGACCCAGAAAGCGTTTGCAAACTCCCAAAACAAAACCCTAAAATTAGAAGATAAACGTTTCCTGCAACCAAAAATGAAATCAAACAAAAAATCCACACACAAATCAGCAAAAAATAAAGAAAGCATTTAGCAAGAATCGAATTTTACAACAATCAATTAAAAAAATCTCTCCAGATGAAATGTTCTATTTGTCCTAATAATATTAGGTTATATATATATATATATATATATATATATATATATATATATATATATATATATGATTAAAAAGTGAGAGAGAGAGAGAGAGAGACGAACCTTCATATGGAGGCTAGCGATCCGGAGCTCGAGAAATCTGTGGAAGCAAATGAAAAAGCCCTGATTTTCCATATTTCTTCTGTTCTAGGATGAGAGAAACGGAAGAGATGGAGCTGTGGCTGCTATGGTTTGAGGAGGACAGAAACAGGAAGAGTGAGAGATGAGAGGGCTCGCGTAGGAGAGAGAGGAAGAGTGAGAGATGAGAGCTGGTTGGGTTCTACTCCTGAGACTCGTGTCCCGTTAACTACAGGCCCCCATACTTTTCTCTGACTGTCCCCCCTCTCCCACTCATGAAATCGAGGATCTGCAGCAATGGCGCTGAGATCCCCACACCTCTCTCTCGCTCTGTCTCTCTCTCTCCCTCTCTATCGGAGGCATGGCCTCCCATCCCCGAAACCCTCACTGAATGACAGCAAACCCAAACCCACCCCAATCCGTCTCAAATGCACAGGACAAAATTACCCTCCTAACTTTTAATAACTACGTTCCAACCCAGCCCCATATCCCACGGTTTTGTTGTAAATAAAGCAAAATCGAGGGGGGAGGAATTGACCTCAAAAGACAAAATCACCCTCTGAATTTTTGAGAATTACCCCCCAACCCAGCCACATTCGGCTGGCATTGTTGTAATAAAGCAAAATCAAAACAAAGGTGAATAGCGCCTGCCCTCCCCCCTACTTTAGAATAAGTAATGTGGGTGGCTTTCATAGATGGGAAGAGTCAAGAGTGGCTGGCTATGGTGTTGAAAGCTTATGTAAACAATTTGATTCTAAATTAATGAAATATTATATAATTTGGAAAACAAACAATGAGTGTCGTAAATGCAATAAACTAAATCGTTGTATTAAAAAAAGTTACATAACATATAAATCTGATAGTATACATTTTACCAAAAAGAAAATAAATAATAATAAGACATACAACCAACCTGCCTTTGTTTGTCTAAACCAAAAACTTCATCTAGTCTATATATACAACAAACTAATTTTGACCGTTGATACTTGATCAATTGCAGAACTGCCATCTATTACTTCTATTTTTCTTCAGACTAAAACCAAAAAGTTATTTTTCTCTCCAAAAGTTTCTCTATGTTCTGGACAAAATCTCAAGTCCAATTGCTTTATCTTGTCTATAGCCGTTCCGGGTTGCTTTGTTGGGTTTGACCGCTAAAGCCCTTCCAGTCTTGTGAGTACTTGTGACTGATTCCGTCGTCCTTTGCTTATTCTGAAATGACTTATATCGCTTGGCCTTAAATCTTCCCCATTAACTGAGAATTTGACTTTACCCTCGTTGTCCGGTTTATCAAGAATTCTTGTAGCGTCTGACGCAGACTTAACAACAACTTGAGCAAAGAGTGATTGCTCTTTAGGATGAACAGGCTTCTTCATAAAGATTGACTACTATCTCCAAATTTCCTGCATATACATGATGAGTTAAATATTATTGAAGATGATGATAATAAATCAATAGTAAAGCCATACATATCTTGACACACAAAACTGATCATATGTTGTACCATCTCAACTAACCATATGCTGTGCCATCTTTGATTCAACAAGTTATTATGGTCGGTTTAGATGGTACAAACTGTTAAATTTCAACATCTGGTCAACAGTCAGCTACTAATTACCGCACCGATATTGCCCCAACTTAACTACATGCACATCTCGGCAGTTGCTGAATTTCTATCACAAAAAACCTTGGTGCAAAATGTGTAACCATTCAATAAAAGTTGAGTAATCAATGAAAAAAAGAGACTAGACTAAAGTCCTCTTCTTAAATAGCTTTTGAAACAGCTTTGACGACCTGTTTAAATAGCTTTTGAGTTCTTCATTTGAAACAGGATGACCCTTTGAGAAAGTCAAGAATAAAGTTCTATCATTGTTGTCAACACTAGGTTGATGCACATCATCATATGCTTCTTGGGGTGGCAATAGACGAGGTTGAGCCTCAACAATATCATCACCCTGCTGGTTAAGTGAATAATTATGCTGAAACCCTTGTTGTACTATTGGACCATTCAACAAATTGGTTTGCTGGAAAGCACTGGGTATATGATACAAATATGGATATGATGGGACTATAATTATATCCCAAAAAGCTCTATCGAAGACATTGTCAATAAATCTCCTCACCTCTTCCCTGGCCTTCTTGTTCTCAAACACAAACTCAAGTGGAATATTTTTGGTAAGAAGAAGAAGACAAAATGTTCGGAACTGGCTATCAATTTCCTCCAACGCCAGAGGAGCTTAATTTGAATGCAGATAGTGTAAGTGCATGATCGACTCGCACGCTAAAGCATACAGGTCCGAGTCATATAAATCTGACGTGCCCGCCATAAAATTGTAGTGAGTTTCTGTGTCCAGAAAATACCAAAAGGCTATGACAAGCTTATATTGGTTAGGATCAAAACGTAAACCCAGCAGTCGAACGTATATTGTGCGATCGATTGAATGGAATAGCTTTAGCTCTTCAAAGGCTCTGTAAGACGATAAGTGCATGATGATGTAAGTGCCAGTGCTCTTGGAGTGTTTGGTTTTCAAAGGGCTGGTTACGGTTTCAAAGGCTTTCGATGTTGGTCCTTCGGCCAAAAGGTTGTGTTCTTTTTTTAAGTTTCAGTGATAAGCATGGTTTTCCCTCTCAGCGCACCTTGTTATATAATAATTCTAATTAGTTACCAAAAAGGGTAACTGTAATTTCTGACCCAATTAAATTCTCCACGTTCTGAAGTGTTTTGCACTTTTACTATTGTATTAGGGTGTCAATGCCCTTATTATCCAAATATCAAGTAGTTCCCAGTCCTTTTCATTTTTGGTTTTTGTATTCCTTAGTTGTTTGGATATATACTGCTATAATCCCCAAATTGTTAACTAAATTTTTGGTTCCCAAACAATATCTAAACTAACACCAAGGTTTAATCACTAAAGACCCAAAAAAAAAAAAAAAAAAAAAAAAAAACTAGACGTCTGAAGAGGAAACAAAGAAAATTATTCTGCAGTCGGCCCTACATTTAGCCTTGAGGTTGCGAAAATCCTTATGCATCTCTCTTCCTTCTCTCCCTGTCTTTTGGCCCACGCTCACAACTAACACAAAGGATTTAGCTCCAATTGTCACGGTTTTTAATGGATTTTGAACTGTGAGACATGGCGCTTTTCGAAAAACTAGCCGGGAAGACGTGGAGCGGCATCACTATTTTGCCATTTTTATTTTGATTTCGTTCAATAATTACAAGAAATTCACTCAGAATTTGTTGATTTTAGATTCTCTCTTTAGGAGAGTTCTTTCATTTTAGTTTTCATCTTGCTTACCACTTTATTAATTATTGTTAGATGTTGATCACCTTATTAATTACTGTTAGATTAGTTTAAATTTCGAGATTTGTGCAGTTGATAAATTAAATCAAACTCATCAAATGGTAATCAATAGGGTGGTGAGCAAAAATATACCCAAAACAAAAGGTTAGCAAAGAGGAAGATGGTGGAGTCCATTTACAGAGGATAAAGAGATACAAAACGATAAGTATGAGAGAGGAACAACATCGTCTAGGTTTAGTCATACCAAGGGCAAATCATCATCTTCTTAGCGAGTCTGCCACCGACTTTGCAACTAAAATTTTTTCAGATTCAATTCTCGACATAAGCCCACCTAATGCTTATGGCAAAATCGCGACGGTAAACCACCGTCTAGTGCCTAGGGTGATTTTTCGAACACTGATCACAATATGACTTGAGTGTTATTATTCTCACATGAACATGAAATTTAACGATTCCAATAATCATTATACTTTTTTCTAATGAGCTTGGCTTTCAACAAAGTACTTAAAATTTGCTTAATATTGCTTTATTGTAATTTTATAGATCGAGTTTTGTGAAGACCCTTTTTGGTGCTAATCTTCCCTTAAACTTAATGGATTTTCTGTTTTGCAGTTTGACGTTTTTACCCTTGAAAATTAAGGTCCACTTCAGCAGTTACGAATGACAAAGGTGTGTTGGGTTAGTCCACCTAGTAATGTCTGGGGTTATATCGTTGTTTTCATATTACGGATTCTTGCAATTAGTTCACTAGTACGGTAATTCTTGTAAGTAAAAGCCAAGTTTGTGCTGAAAGGATTTGTTTCTCACATGTTGTTTGAACAGTGTAAGATATATCGGATAACGGGAGACATCGAAAGGGGACAAATGTTGTAAAATGAGTTGGCAAATTCAACTCAAGGTGACCTCTCAATCTCTAAATTTTACTTTAAGGTTAAGAATCTGTGTTCGGAGATTTCCTTGTTAGATCTAGCTCAATCAGTGTTTGAAGCTCAAATAAGGCGGCACATTATCTGTGGCATTAAAAAGTACTCTCTTTGTTACTTGTGTACACAGATAGATCGGCAACCTCTCTCGGAAGAGGTTCAAAATTGAACTCCATGTTTACGAGAGTAACATGACTGTACAACTAACATTATATCAATAAAATGAAGGCAAAACCATAGCGGTATAAGGTAAGAAATGAAACAATTTCTAGATTTTGAATGTTTTCAGAACAAGAAAATGTGGAAAATGTCTGTATAGATAGTTAGCTAGTCACTACAACAAAAGGAGAGGATCAAAGAAAAAGAATGGTGCGAAATAGTTAGTGTGGCATGGAATGATTAGGCGGATGGAATCCTCTTACGCTCGAAGGTTATTGAGAAGTAGAGGGGACGTTGTTGGTATGTTTTGTACAATCGAATGGTCCGATTACTTGATTAGCTTTTCGCTTCACCTGAAATTCAAAAACAGTGTCAGCGCATCAGCTCATTGGTACATCTGTAAACAATGAATAGATGACCGTCTAGGAAGCAAAACCATACCGGAGACCATGGACCCAGTTGAGGTTGAGATTTGTTGGGGGGTGAATTTTGTACAGCGCCACTTTTCTTTGTCAAAATTTCCTGTAGAAACACTCGGTATAAGATAACTACTATCATGCTAGAGACTACAAAATGTGTCTTGTATCAAAACCGAGAACTAGAGAATAATCAAAATGTTTGGTCAGAATAAAATAGAGGCATCCAAACGCCACAGGCATTGGATCAACCGGAAGTTCAGAACTACTTGCTATGGTTTGTTTTCGTCTTCATAAATGTGGTTAGTAGTGTGTAATCTTATTGGTTTGAAGAAAAAGCAATAATTACATTATTACGTACATTTGAAGATCCAAACCAAATTAAGTAGTTGTAGTCCCAGGAGACAATTGGTATGTCAAAACAAAAAGTTATAAAATGCTGACATGGATAACAAAAGCAGTTTGCGTGTTATAAGTTATAGTGTGCAGATGAAAGACTAGTAGTACAAGTATTACCTCTCCGGCTGCTTCAAGTGCAGCTAACCATTCGTCAGAGAATGGAACAGCATCTGATGGAGGCTTTATTACAAGGCCCTCTGGCTTCCTATCACTCCCAGATTTCTTACTGCAAAAAGAGACAGGGATAACTGAATTTCGCATGGAAATTTCAATCTATAAAAGATGTGCACCAAATGGCTTAAAGGAACACAAGGACAACACATTGACACAAATATAAGCAGATAAAACTGATCTATGTTTTTTTGGAACTTACAGCTCGTTTGTAGCCTCCTTATCTTCTGCGGGGTGCAAGGAATCTTCTAATTCATGCTGCAGTTCACTGTTAAAAGTATGATTATTGAAATCAATTTCGGATTCCTCTGCTGAATTGCCTTTCAGTGCATTAACTTCATTATCCTGCAGAATACTTCCACTTGATGATGTTCGATCAGAAATGACAGATGAGCATAATTCTCCTCCCCAGGCATTTAATGCCAAAGTTGACACTGAAGTTTCTCCAGTGGTGGCTGTTGCACACGAATCAGCCTCCAGAGAAGCAGCTTGGTTGCTTAGCTTATAGTCATGACTGAAACCCTCTGCAACTTCCATCTGTAAGTAGTCAGCCTTTTCTTCCAAATCAGGTGTGCAGTCATGCATTGCTGGTCCTACTTTGGAACTCTTTGTTTCACTTCCACAAGCATTATAGTCATTAAAAACAACCTCGTGTACAGTTTCCACAAAATCCTTACAGGAACTGTTGTTTGCAAGCAAAGTACCATTCAAACAAGACCCAGGGTTAATATCCTGGGACACTCGTATAACATCAATATTTGGATGATGAAGCTCAGGACATCCAGCTAGTTCTTCATATACATTATTAACAACTGCTGAGCATGCATAGTTTGAGACTGAGGTATGTTCTCGCAGATCTCCAAGAGCTAGTTCCTTAATTATGTCACTACCTTCATCAACTTGTTTATTTTCTTCATCCAAGATTTTATGCTTAGATAAACCATGGGGACTTTGAGACCCACTTCCACCTAAATCGTTCACTTTTGAGCTGATATCTGCACAATTTCCAGTGTTATCTGTAAGGGGCTCTTCAAAAGATTCTCTACCTTCAAGTGAACTCACATGAACCTCTGGACTCTGATTCAGTATTCTATCTTCTGCATTTAAGCAACGTGCACTCATCACACTAATTTCCTCTCCACTGAAATTGATTTTATCACCCATCAAATTATTCGGCTCTACTGAAGTATCTTGAAATAGCACTTTCAGGTTTAGCTGGGACGTGAAATCTCCACTTTTCAAGAAACTGGCATTCATAGCAGTCACTTCACCTATGGCTTGAACTTCATCCACACTCTCCAACTCCAAACAACAATCTTGACAATTAAGCTGAGAGTCATTCCTAGAGTCAAGGTTGTAACTCTCAACCATTGCTTTGTCTTCCAACACTGAAGCAAAATTGTCCTGGGACTCCACTATTGCTGCCCCATTGGACCTGCAATCTGGCATAGCAAGTGGCATTAGAGAAAGGGTTTTAGAAACTTCTGATTCATTTCTGCAGGCACCAGTTCCGTGTGTTTCTTTTAAATCAACACATTGAAGAGCAATTTTCTGCCGGGATTCTTCAGGGATAGTACTGAATCCATCCAATACATAATCATCTAAGCGCAATATATTTTCCTGGAAAACCTGTTCTCCGGTATAGCAGGAATTTGAAAGGTCTAGCTGTTCAGGCTTTTTGTTTCCACAATCAGTTTTCACCAATTGACAATTATCTGAAGCAGAAGTCCTCCAGTCAGCGTCATCCATTTCATCTGTTAATCTTCCACTTAGAGTCAGCATTTGTGCATCTTCCTCCTGTGGGTTCTCACTCATTTTGTCAAATGTACCACCATTATTTGAGCGGTCACCAAATCCAGAGTCACACAAAGCATCAGAGTCGGTTGCACTAGAATTTTGGACTTTTGGACTGACATCTGCAACCTTCACACAACTGTAGGTCTGCATCTCTTCAGAAGTTTGACATTCCTTGGTGAAACTACCACTATTTTCCCATACCATTTGATCTCCTTCACAGGTCAAAGGTTTAGACAGATCACCTTGTTCCCCATGCAATTTATTGTCACGATCACCGCTAGACTGATCAACGTATGATACTGAAGTACTATTGACAGAACTAGCATCTTCAGACTTGGACTTTGAAAAAACACAGCAATTCTTCTGGGGAGAAACAATGGGTTTGTCTTCAAGAAGTTGATGGTCGGTTATGACTCTGCCAAAAACACCAGGAAATTTCACCGTGGAACTAAGGTGGGATGTAATCTGCGATTTATCAGTATCTTTAATTTTTGGAGGAAGTACAAAAGCAACATTCATGCTATTATCATCTTCATCCAACTGTTCACAGGTTCCCCTCTGTGAAAGAAGTTTATCCTCATTCCTCTGAAATTCTACCTCTTCCATGTGAACAACCTTTTCGGTAATATATGGTTCTGCTTGTCCCATAGATATTTGGTCTTCATGAACAGGAATTTTATCGAACTTCTGCTTATTATCTGTCATATCACAATTACTTGAGCTAGACCTAACCTTCAGATCTGCCTTCTGCATATCTGTTACTAACGAGAATGATTCCACTATCCTCTTTGTGGCAGGGTTCACAATAGATAAAACGGAGCAATCCAAACTTGAGCAATGGACATCATTCTTTCCTGTTATTGTGACATCATTATATCCCGTTATTGTGCCATCCATGGTCACATTTTGCTTTTCCCCAACTGAAGAGGGCAGCTGAAATTCATGAATTGGATCTACAGGGCCCGCTTGCCTCAAATTAGGAATAACGCATGATTGAGAGCTTGTCTTCAAAGGACTAGGCAAAGAAGAAGGTTTTGGCTGCAAACAAATAATCAAAATTGCAGCAATAAAAATCAGACATTGAAATTTGAAAGTATCATAATTCTTTTATGCAGCAATAGAGCAGTTAGAAAAATACCTGATGAAAGAAACCCAGCGATGGTGATGGCATCCGCAAACCTGATGGCTTTGATGTTGGGGGTCGAGGATGTACCACACCAGAAAGAGGGAGAGGAACTACAGTTTTTCTGGATCTGTCATCACAGCAATATGATGCATGCTTGGTCGAAGGAAGTGCTTGTTTTGAGTTCACCTCAGGAACTGCAGGTTTTCTGGATCTATCATTACGGCCACATGATGCATGAGCGTTAGAAGGAAGGGCTTGCTTTGGAATCATATGTGGAACTGCAGTTTTTCTGGATCTGTCACCAAGGCCATATGCTGCATGACCATTTGAAGGAACTGCTTGTTTTGATATCCCCTCTAAGCCCTTATTTGCTTCAAAAGTCGGTGGACAGGATATTTTGGTTGGAGAACCCTTCACCAAGCTGGCCTGCAAAATTATTGAAATTCACAACACAGTAAGCATATGAATCCTTATAAATAACAAACAGCACACCATACTAAGGAAATGTCAGCCAGTTATAGTCCCAAATATATCTAGTAGTTAATTTACAGAGACTACTAAGTTACAAGTTCTCACCACATTCCTTCTGGCCTGTCGAACAGAACTTTTGGAAGTTAAAAAATTTCCATTAGGAGTGACTTTCACATTATTTGGCCCACTTTTGGTGTTGTTCAATTTCACTGCTGTATGAGAAAGTAGTAGTTAACAGAATATAAACAAATAATTTACTTCTGATTCAAACGTGAAAATTTAATTTCTTTAACTTTTAAGAAAGTAGAAACATATTAGACAACAAAGCCCTCTAGAAGTAGTCAAATATACAAATCTTCCTCAGATATCTCACCACAGCAAAATATTTTTGGTAATTAATTGCAGTAACAATGTATATAAAAATGTTACCAGGATGAGCAATCTGATTCCGCTTTAAATCATTTGCACCAACTGTAACATTCTTGGAAGTCCTAGAAAGCAGACAGGTATCTGGTCTTGGAACCGGTATTTTAGAAACTTTTGGTTCTTTAATTGGTGATTTCATGGTATTCACATTCGCAGGCCTTTTAACAGTTCCCATTAGTCAAGGCCAACTTTCCCAAAAACTCATCTTAGTAACAAAAGATTCAACAAAACTCCTACAAAAAGAAAATTAATCAAAAGGATATGAAGAAGAGGCCACAGGTCGAGGGCAACCACTGCGTTTTGAGCCACTTCTAACCGCGGAACCTGGTGCTACTTTATCTTTAGCTGACGAGTCATGCTTTGGTAATGGACTGCCACCAACAGTCCTATCCTTCTTATTTGAAGGACTTTCCGGCAAAACCTTGAATAAATTTTCTTCAATAACATGTAGATCTGCTGAATCAGTAATGCTATTTGTGTCTTCCTCAATAACTGACAACAACCCATTAGAATTTGCATTCCCGCTAATCATGGATAGTTCCTCGGAATTTAGTACACCTGACAGAATACCAAAATGGGAAAGAAAAAATCCAATCTTTAATTTTCTTTTCTATCAAAAATTATTTCTCAAACTCATAAACCAAAATATAAACCTTCATCGGTAAAGAAGGCTCGATCCCAAGCAAGGCTTTTGCGCAAATTGTATCCACCCCCTTTCTTCTTCCTCTTCATTTGCTGCGGCAGGAGGCTGAGTTTTTGCTCTTCTAATTTATTTGCAACCGTATTCTCTTTATTTGCATTCGCATTCTCTCTACAAAGCGTAGAACTCGGCTTTTTGGAATTCTCACTCACCACCACACCTTCTGCAATACAATTCAATGATTTTTCATTATATGTCATGCAATGTAGGTCCAATTACGTAAATATACATATAAACATGTAAATGTCGATCAATTAGCAGACAGATTTCGCCCTACTGAGCTAATCAGAGGTCAAATTGAGTCCACATTATTCAAATTGAAAGGGGAAAAAAAACCCTAGACAGCCAAAACAAAGTACAAGAAACAAAGTATAAGAGAAAACCCTAACCGAGTGGCTTGGATCTGCGGGTTTGGAGAGGCGAGCAGAAGAAAAAGGCGTCGTCTTTGGAGATTTTGCTGGTGCTGCTGCTTGAAACGGTGTCACCGTGGGTCAATTGAAGCAGCGAGTCGTCTTCTCCTGCGATTTCGATGAGTGGGACGTCGGACTCCATCTCTCTCTCTCTCTCTCTCTCTCTCTCTCTGGATATCTAGAAAAATCGAATGATCGGAGGAAGTTGTTACGGGTGGAAGAAATGGTCGAATCAAATGGGTGTGCAGAGTAGAGTAATGGAGTGTGCAAAGTGTTTGTTTATTTGTTTGTGGATCTTCAATTTTTCAAAGGGTCGACGAGCGGCAAAAGGCTGAACGGGGGGGGGTGGGGACAAATAGACCGTGCGAGCACGTGACTACCGAGAGGAAATGACGAAAGCACCCTTGTGGTCAACTTTGAGTCGAGGACGATTAATCTGGGCATAAGGGTGATTTCACCTCCAACATGGACGTATGGACCGTTAGATCAATGATACGATCGGGTCATTTCTCTTATTCCAACGTGGTGACATGATCCGTTTTCTTAATGAATTTGCACAACCATTACCCGTTAAGCTAACAAACTTGACATACAAGTTAACCTGTGAAATGGCACAATCTGTTTCACCTGTTAAGTATTATGAATTTCGTAAATTTTTAGATTTAAAGTATGAAGGAAAAGAAGAAAGAGATGAGCTTTGCAATCACAAGTCGCGACTTGATGGTTGATGGAGGCATCGGATGACTTCAAATTCCGTTTCATTTTAAATGAGTTGGTTAAAACTAAAGGGTCAACAACTTTTCTTTTAATATAAACGATATTATTGCTTTAAGCTCTACTAAACGAAGAGATACCCATAACACTAGATTGAAAGTGAATGTCAACTATATAGTTGGGTGCCAATAAATCCGCTTCGGTCCAAATACAAAACTCATTGGTTATAACTAGCATAACTAGCATGCATGACTTCTCATGAAACTTACAAGTTTGGAAGGAACATCTATTATACGCAGTTTTATCCTTGTTTTGCAAAGAGTATTTCCACAACTTGAACCCGTAACCTTTTGTTCACTACTAAGAACGGACAAATAGAATAAGCTATCAATTTTCAGGTGCAAAAGGATTTATTTGAGATTGGAATTATCCAAATTATATATTTCCTTACAAAAACCAATTCCTTTGAATCTGTGATTTTCATGAACTTATACATGTCACAACTGTAAAGGGTCCAGGACCAATTCCCAGCAAAATCCGCACTTACTGTGCGTGTGTGTGTCAGCTAAAGTAACTAAAGTCCCGTAAAAGCTACACTGTAAGACGATTCCCCGGCTCCTCTTTACAATCGGTGAACCTAATTTCCCTCCTCGATTAGATATAAACGAAATACAAAACAAAGTAACTACATCTATGAAGGGAACTAACCGCGACTCTTATCTGGAACCTTTTGTACCAACATTACACCGAAGAATATGAGCCACGACTCTACATTTCTAGGTCAAAATCGAGCATCTTCCTCCTCTATGCCGCCTGAAATATGGCTCTCTCAAATTCCATTTCAGGCTGGAGATAGAGCTCTGCCCTTCTTTGCGCTAATACCTTTCCTTCCGAAGAACAAGAAAACCGACATACAAGTGGACTAATCTTCATCCTCGGTTATGGAGGCAAAGGAAAAAGGTTTGAACTTGTAGCCATCTCCGTGGTAGAATTTGTTTTGATATTCTACCCAATGAAGACGCAGGGCATGGAGAAAAGCACTTAGTGTCTCCATCATGAGTAGTATGAATGCAGTTGCAAAGGCGAAAACTGATAACCCAATTAACCGGATAATGAAGCTGTCATACCTGTTATAAATTTTCAGAATTACGTTAACAATTGACCAATATGTGCAGCATCAAATGCAATATAGTCTGTGTCACACTGGGGAATGGCTAGCCAAATTAGAATTAAAATATGTTAACAGTGCCAGATGGAAAAAAAGGATCTTGAGTAAGCCTATAAGACGGTGAGACAAATAACATGCTTACTAAGAAACTGAGGAAAATGCAATAGTAAGATTAGGGCTAGTATGTAGTTAAGGCCCGGGGAGAGGATTTTGGGGTGGGAATCAAACTCTGGAGCTCCATAATGTGAGACCCTTCAAATATCGCAGTAGATCTAGACTACAACCTGGATTAGATTTCGTGCGTCCAAAAGCAGGAAAAAAAATGAGGAGAACTACCATTCATATGCACATGTATGCAATGATAAAGAATTAGAGGGTTGCAACTCACCCCCAAGCAAGGAGGAGAACTTTCTCATAGAAAACGGTCGACAATTCTGAGTGCGCCAAGCTGTAATAGCAGTAACAGGTATGAAACAAAAGCTACCCCATAGATGAAAGAAAACCACGGAAAAAGAAGAAAAATAAATATAGGTATACCTCAAAGCCCATAGTCGTAGATATGAAGCCGTATTTGAAACAGCACCCAGAACAAACTCTATGGAGTGTATCATCTGGTGTACAAATACCTCACTGAAATTAAATTCTTCATGATGTTGCCTCGCAGAATCAGGTTCCACCTCAAGATCCATCTCTGAGGTGCCAAGCATCCCATACGCGCGACCTTGAAACCTCTGGAAACAAACATTAAATAACATTACGCATCATATCTTCTCAAGCTCCTTACATCTTGCCTCAAATACCTATGTGAGTCGAAGACAAGTATACCTCTCATAAGTTAACCGAGTCCCCATTACCAGTTGATGATACTAATCACTAGTTAATCAAATTTTAAAAATACTTACAAATGCAGAAACATCGAAGAGAATTTTACTAGTAATTTTATCCCACTACCATCTTAAAACTCAAGAACAGATGCCTAAGCAAGTTACTCCACAGTACCTCCGTATGAAGCTTCTTCAAAATAAAAGGTTTTGGAAAGAGCATCCATGGAACTGCAATTAAAGCCAAAAGCAACAAAATGATCTGCAAAACCAGAGGTTTGTTAACCACAATACGAACTTAAGAAGTTGCACAGACGAAGTAACTAAAAAAGAGGAGCAGAATTCACGCCTGAAGTGGTCTTTGGCCCCAGAATAATTGATTTTCACCAAGATCGTCGGTTGGACTTAAAAACATGTAAATCATTACATGATAGAGGTCTGCCTGAGATCCCGTGCACCACTTGATGACAACAAGAAGTGAAAGATATCCAAAAAGACTGTTAAGAAAGATCATCTGTGGGACAAACTGGTACCTAACAAGATGGAGAATAAGTCAAACTTGTGTACACCTCATTTCAAAGTCAAACACGTGGCAAACTGAAAAAAATAAAAAATAAAAAATAAAAACATTTGAAGAGCAGAGAAGCACCATATATCAAGCGAGCTGCTGAAAAACCTTGCATTGAAGTAACTTAGTAGTATTCCCAAGTTCATTTGCACAACACCCAACAAAATTGACATTTTCATTTTGAGAGAATTCAGAAAAGGCAGTTCAGAACGACTTCCACGCCAACTGGGATCCACACCAAATGGGTATGGATCTCGGTACTTGATTAAGCCAATAGTGTGCACCTCACTGCTCAAAAGAAGACAAGTTGATGATAAGTATACAGTTTTCTTAGGAAAGACATGTATTTATCTATCATAAAAGATGGGATAGTTTTCAAGAGTTACACATAAAAGTGAGAGAGAAAATGTCAAACAAACAGAACGCTAGAAATGCCTAACAAAGAACAGTTATAATTAAGTATATCAAAAGTCAGTAATAGATTTGAACAGAAGTGCAGGGGTGTAAAAGGGGAGAAAGGAGTGCAAGTGTCACAATGATGCACATTAACAAGTTGGACATTCTGTAGGACACAGCAATAGTGCACCATGGCCCAGACAAAAACTCCAAAAGAATACACCAAACTCCATCAATCAAGGTGGAGAGAACCCCCATGGATCAAACAAGGGATGACCCCTTTCATCCTTAGAAATGACCCCTGGAGGAGGCAATGAAACCCCAAATCCATCCAAAACAATGGCGTAGCATAACTTTAGATTAATGAATTAATTTTTGTGAATATTTTGATAGTTTCAGATTAAGTGGAAAATATTGTAAATTCTATAAGCATTGATCTGTAATTAAGCCAATGCAAGCAGTGCAACAGCAGACAGGTATAAGCACATAGATTCCAGAAACCTCAATTCTCTAAAAGAATAGAACCGAGCGGTACAATGTGAAACATACAACCCAGTTGAAGGTGACTTTAATACAAGATACAACATATTAAGGCAATTGTAGAGTAGAAGACTTAAAATAGAGAGACTACCTGCAAGCAGTATCTCTACATTTGTAAGCAGACCCGCCAAATATGTGAAAAGGAACAGAAAAGAACTCATTGTAAATCAACCCACAGTAGATTGAAAATAGGGACATCAAGAGAAGTACATATCGTCCACCAAATAACATCTCCATAAAGCTCCCAAGTTTCTGGTAGGAAGTAACATGAAAACTTTCGTTAATAAACGTTTGAAAGACACAATTTTATATTTCTATTTCACATGTTAAATGCATGTTTTTTCCTTGCATTTGAGACACCAGAATATTTTCGTTAAGACGAAAATTGAAACATCAAAATCATGTGTTCAAAGATCACAGCATTATCATCAAGTCCTTGTCCTTTTAGGGTCATTCCTCTCAAACATTAGCTACTAGGATTAGAAATAGTTTCAGCAATTCACTTGATAAGAAATGAAAGCTTATCCTACTTGCTCCCTTAGAAAATATATTATTACTACTGCTGCTGTTACTGCTTTTATTATTCTGCTGTATCATCGGTACCTCTATAAGAATAGCCAAGACGTGGGATATGCAAATCTAGGTCAAGATATCATATTGGTGGTAGGTTGCTAACTAAACCATGGCTGCAGTGTTCCCTTGGACCCCAATAAATGCAGGCTCTGTTATATTGACAGTGGCTATCACTGTTTCTGTTGCTGAATAGTGTAGACACAGTAACATTGACAGCCATGAAAAAGCTCAGGGCGATGGTGAAAGTGGTTAGGATTACAACATATCATTCAACCGCTTCTGGAGAGTGCAAAAGATATACTTTTAAATTTTTAATAGAAGCTAATAGTCAACATTTGTGAACTGGAAAATGGTACATGATTGAAGCACCTAGAAGAATAATATTTTTTTATTAACCATAGCAATAATGATTCATTACAATCAAATAAAATGTCTTTGGATAGTAAGGACACACCTGTGCACTGAGTTTACTTTCACGAGCTATAAGAACTAATGCTCCAAGCAATAAGCATATTCCATGACCCCAGTCCCCAAACATCACAGCAAAAAGAAA